AATTGAATCATCTTAATAATCAGTTACTCACCATGCAGCGACCGTGGTCACTGCACCTTCGGAAATAGATAAGGTCGCGCGCAGGATTAGGATAAGATTATCAATAAATTGCTGATTTCACGTACAATCAGTGGTGAAACACGAACCAGGTTCTGGAATGGTTACTTCTGAAGTATACGAACCAAGATGGCGGACACCAGAACGTAGTATGTGTACCAGGTTAGGATCAGGCCATAATTTCGGGTACAAATACTACGGGAGTCACTTGGCTAGTCCCCGAACTCGTAATAGAACTAAAAAAATAAAGAAAACTATGATCTAACTCAGGGGTGGGCAACATGCGGCCCGCGGTCCGGCCCGCGACGAGATTTTGACCGGCCCGCCGACTGTATCGACTGTAGCATAAAGCGTTGTAAACATTCCCCACTACTGTTATCAGTCATATTTAGATTCTAAATATAAATAGATTTTCGAAATTAGATTTTATATTAATATTAGGTTTTATTAACCATGAAATATCCCAGGAAACGTAAAATTGACAGAGAGTGCCGAGCATTCAACAAAGATTGGATGCCGAAGTATTTTTTGTAATAATCCGGCCGGCCGAGAACTTCATTTTCCCACATCTGGCCCGCCGACTAGAGAAGTTGCCCACCCCCTTTTTTTTACCTAGTCGATAGCAAGAAATCTCCCCTATACACGTTTTAAAGGAATAATAATCTATGTTTAGCAGTTTTTTTTTATTAGAAACGTGTTATTATTAAGTAAATGGATATCGGTTTTCATATTTTGTATATTTGAAAATCTCGTAATTCTCTACTTTTTAATTTTGTTTTCGATAAATGAAAATAAAAGAAATCCCCCAAAAATAAGCCCTAGTGTTATTTTCGAAAAAATATTTGAAATAAGATTCTGCCATTATTTTCGGGAAAACACGGTATTATGTTCGGTATTAGATTTAAATAAAGCGTGCCATGTTTATATATCTTCTGTAGTAACACACGTACATTTTCTGGAATCAGGGAACCCGTTGTCGATACAAAAGCAAACCCGTTCTTAAAATTTTGATTCCCACCATACTTATAATTAGGGTTGCCATATTTTTGGGACCTCAAAGCGGGACGCCTCCAAAGACAATAGCTGTAATTTTTTCAACTGTATATTTAACGTTTTTACATTAGGGGCCTACATTTAAAACCATCTCGGTTGTGTTCATTGGCTATATCGTGATCGAGAGTTCATGCGCTGTCTAAATATCGTTTTCAGTTCGAAAAATAGAAAAGAATTTACGTTAACGTTAAGCACACTTCTGGCGTACGGGGCTTACACGTAACAAATTGTAGCAACGAAATAAACAAAACCACGCATCTACCTTCAGTAAGTAGGCGGCATATTTTAGTCAACTCAAAAGTACCGTAACTGTTGCAATAATTCAAATTTGCTCGCGTATCACTTGAAAGGGTCCTGCGTACCACAGGTTGAGAACCACTGCATTAGAGCGATTTTGCAAAATATACGCATATATGTCGACACTTTGTGGATAGTATTCGAATTTAGGATAGGATTAGAACCTGAACCCATGCAGGCTAATCAGAGGTGCGGTGGCGAGCGTATTTCTAACGCTTAGCACAATGCGCCACACCGCCGAGCATATGCATATATTTCGGCACTTTGCGGATAATATTCGAATTTATCTTCGAATCATCGACTTCGAAGCAAATATGAGAATATCTGATTTCCATAAGTCCATAGGTTTCGTTCTGTTGATGCTCATATTTTGATGTTAGTCACTTCATTTGTATTTGTAGATGGAATTGTGTTCAAAAGTTGTCAGTTTCACATTCTCTTATATATATATAATACTTTTAGCTATATATATATATATAGTTCAGAATTAAAGATGTCGGCACATTGGGGACTATATTCGAATTTCGCCTCGAACCTTCGAGTTTGCATAAAATAGCAGGACAATAACACAGTGGTTCCCAATTGGTGGAGCGCGGCCCACAAGTTAGACAAATATTTGAGGGGGCGTGAAGTTGATTGAGAATAAAAATATTTGTTATATTTAATCCTACCCGTCCTGTTTTGAATATTCACATTTCTTTATTTTGGATTTTTATGTTCCATCCATCTGTATTTTCAACGTTTTTTTTCAATACTATCTGTTATTTGAAGCTTATTGTTCGCTAGTTATTTTTGAGGTGAGGAGCGAGACTTGACAAATTCTAAAAAGGGGGCGCGTCTTAAAAATGTGAGAACCACTGCAATAGCAAATAAAGTGGCAGCGTCAAATCAGTGTATTGTTATTAACCGTGACACAACACTTTGTGTCAGAATTTTGCATATGGCACAGCATCACAACATTCTGTTTATTTTAATTTCTTCTCCACCAACATGACTATCTTATGTCACGATTATTTTGACAAACGTGCGACAATCACGCGCAGCTTCTGCGTGGGATGATCTGTTAGGAAATAAGACGAGTTCAATCTCCTCTCAATACACATTGTAAGTTGATAAGAAATCAGAAACCGGATGCAGGCTGTTTGTGATTCATATTTGAATGGCTGTAGATTGTATTAAGTGAGAAGCAAAAAATAAATGTTCAATATTACGTTGAATTTCACTGTATATCAGCCTAACGACAATGTCGGAACGCTCTTAATTACAAAGGATTGTATATTGGAAAGTGAGTCACCAACACAAAATCCATCAATCGAAACATAAAGAGGATATATCACTTTGCATCTGTTAGTGCAGTTACTACTAAACTGTAGGTAAATTTATAGCTGTTTCTAAGAGCATTGCATAGACTTGATAGTAGGCAAATAAAATTTTCACAATGCAGTTTAGAAGAAGCAATATAGGCCATATGGTTTAAAATGTTTAGAGGCGAATGTCTATTTTAGGAAGCATTACTCCAATATGAAGAACACGAATGCCTATTTATGCATGTATATACGAATGATGTAAAATAGTATAATGTCAGTCAGAATGAGTTGAACAGCATTGCTATGTGTCGGTTGAGTTTGGTTAAAATGAAGATTCGTAAGAGTTAATGCGGGGTATAAAAGTATAATAATGGCGTCCAATACAAGTCCATTCTCAAAAATTGTAATGTTACATCTGTGCGATAGAGGATTTTATATTTCCAATGCGGGCATAGCCTAAAACTGCCAAAATGAGAAATATTATGTAACATTATTCGATTTCGACTAAAATTAAACATTCTGCGAAATTAAATTCCTGTCGTATTTCACTCAATAATACAGAGCACGTGGGAGAAAGCACAAGTAGAGTGCCTGCGAATGGTTGAATTTAAGAATTTGAAAGCATGTGCTTTATCACTTATTTCGGTGAAAAATTATATCGCTTATTAGCGCGATAGGCTTTAAAGGTTGTATGATAGGTCCGAAGCTGCGTCATTTCATCAATTCAGGGCTGCCATGAGCTTAACTAGACAGATAATTGCTACAATGTTTGATTCCGTCTTGATATCCAATTTGAACCAGAAAGCAACGCATGCTAAATATCGAAGATTGTGAGCGAATACAACTAATAAATCGACAAACACTGCATTGATATCTTTTCTCACCAGCGAGGAAAAATGGCAAAAACAGGAAAGATAGTTTTGTGCAAATAGCCTTGGGCTAATTCCTATTAAAATTCTACACGAGAAAACTAGTAAAATCAACTAAAATTTGATTGTAATTAGGTGAATCAAATATGAAAGATATCATAATGAGACAGTTTTGCTAGGGTTGAATCGTGAAGGATTTTTGTGTCTCAGTTAGGCGAGTGATGCGAGGCTTCCCGTGTCGGCAGCATAGTATGAAGAGCCTTATTAGCGGTCAATTAGTAAATTTGGTACTCTCCTAGTGTGAGTATACCAGGTTAGGGTTAGGCCATAATTTTATACCGATTATCCTTATTTTGGTTCTATTACGAGTTCAGGGACTGTCTGTGTTAACCAAGTGAATATACCTCCTGCCCATAAGTTTCAGTCCCTTTACACAACTTGATGTAAAGTACGCGAACAAAATTAGTTACCTCCATATTGGTACACACACTTCTGGAGCGCCGTAAATTAAGTAATAATGGTTATTCCAACCGATTCGATAAATAGCGTGATGAACAAAGTGGACGCAATATGTGTAGCTTCGACCAGAAATGAATATGGTTATGGTTTATTGTTTTTTTTGGGCAATTTTCTTGCATGTATTAAAAAAAAGTATTGATTGTATGAGAAAAATGTAAGATATATGACAAGGGTTGAGTATTATTCTTCATATTTATCCCAAGAATGTTAAAAATACCGTTTAATTCTGTGGCAAACAGCGGCCAGTAATTTAGGTTTTGTCGGGTGTAGGATGAGATCGCCAATACAATTTGTGAATCTTATGTAGAACTAATGCAAAAATGTTGAGATTTAAGAAAAACACCTTCGCGACGTTTTGCACTGCAGATTGCGTTAACTATCTTAGCGATGATAGGGATGTTATTTTCGACGGGGGCTTTCTGCAAAAAAAATCTGCTGAAACCAGAATGTCCATCTATTTCAGGCAGTCGGCTGCACCCGTCCCAGTAAAGTTTTGTTGACATGCTTTCGATAAGCGAGACTTGTAAATTTGTATTTTTTTAATTAGGAGATGAGCACTATAATTGGCTTTACTTGATTACACTGATAAGCAGATCTAGTAAATTATATTGTTAATTTTGCGTTCGGTAATATGCGGTCTGCAGATTGTTTGTGAATTAGCTTACTTATAATTCAGGAGTGTTTTAAATTGGACATGAACAAGGTGTACTTACAATCAGATTTGCCTACGTTAGGATAAGGTTTTCATATTTATCACGATGAAGAGGAAAGGCGATAACAGCATCATATGGCGAACCACGGCCTTTCGTTCGATTACTATTTAATGTCGATGATGGGATTCGTTAGCCATTTGTTTATTCCAGACGCATGGATGTGACTTGGTCTTTCTCACTAATTTGTTTACAATTTCATTATAGGTTCATTTGTTACGGTTAGCCTAGGATATTCTGTAAAACAAATTGAATTCCCAAAACAACAATAATGCAATTGCAACTATTGTTCGCCGTATGGGTGATCTGCACTGTGAGTAAAGTATGCGGAGATTTTGATTCGCGCTCTTCTCATCCCTGTAAACCCAAGTCGGACGGTCATCGGATTGGACATTTGGACGAGTTGGGATGCCAAAGGCCACCGTTAGGACACATCACTGAATATTTTGAAGCTCCGACCCCGCGTGAACTTTGGGAGAACCACGTACTGCCATATAAGCCTGCTGTAATACGAGGTGCTCTACACGGGTCTCCCGCGCTTTCACTTTGGGACGATTCGTACCTGATTGACACATATGGAGACCAAGAGGTTTTGATCGAAAAAAAATATGAAGACAGAAAAAGCGAGCCGAAACGAATGCCTATCAGAGATTTTATTAACAATTACCGAAAGGAAAATTGGTACGTAGTGTCTTTACTTCCGAATGCGATGAGACGAGACGTCCGGGTTCCGAAACCACTAATGTGCAGCACGTTCCGAAAGAATTTGGCAGAGTTAAATTTGTGGATTGGAACACATGGCACAAGATCTATGTTACATCACGACGCAGATAATATAATGCACTGTGTCGTTTCTGGTTGGAAGGATTGGATTTTAATTCACCCAGATTACAAGTCAAAACTCGACATGGTTGTCGGACGAGAAGCGCAGGCATCGGGATTTTCTCACTTAAACGTGGATCGAATTGACGAAGACTTGAACCCGGAGGTATGGGACGTTCCTTGGCTATACGCTACCATAAGAGCGGGCGATTGTTTGTATTTACCCTACAGATATCTTCACCAAGTGCGTTCCTACGAGCGATCAATTTCCTCGACATTTTTATTTTATCCCAATGACGATTTTTCGGATTCCGATTGCAAAGATGTTGACTTGAATGGCTACCTGAGTTTGAATGATACATATGTGTACTGGACTTATGAGAACGGACAGGAAACGGTCGATATGGGATACATGAACCCGGTTTTGGTCAGGGACGAGATTATTGCAGCCGCAAAAGCAACTGGAAAGTCAAAAATTAATATGAAAATGTTCTTTTATCTGAGTCTTATTTTGTACGGCGAGATGGGTATTGAAGCTGGCCCGAGGACAACTGTAATTTTCAAAGAACTAGATCACGATAAAGACAAATATATTACGATATCGGACATGAAAAACGCGGACATAGAAATTTGGAAACAATGGTGCCGTGACTTGGATAGTCCCCACGGACCGACCAAAACACAGGCGACTCAAAGTAAACAACTTTCTGCCGAGACTTCTGCGTTTGCAAAACGACTTAACGATCGACATGTCGATTCCAGATATGCTTTGTATTTTCTTCAATTTTTATTGAGAACCAAAGGTTCTAATGGCCAAATAACTTTTCCTGAATTTAAAAAATGGGTTGAAGTACAAGTTGGAACGCCGAGCGACGCATTTTTACTTTTTGATCATGATTTTAACGGCATCGTCTCAACACAGGAACTTGACAACACAACCCAGAAGCGTCTCCGGGATTTTAGTCGAATGTATTACTCAATGGCTGGTACTAATATAAATGGTGGCGGTCTATTCAGTGATGAGGTCGAAGCGAGAGACATGAGTTTTCTAAAAGATTTAAATCAAATTCCAAAAAGACTTCTTGCGGATGAGAATGATAACTCTGCCTTCGAAATCGAAAAATTCAAATTGCAAACAATTCTGGATCTTTTTAAAAATATGAAAAACAGCGTACAACAAGGAAAAACGATGGATTTGAAGCAACTGCTAATTGAAGTAAAAAATTCCGATTTATTGGAAGTTTTTGAAATCGAAAAGTTCGATGGAAATATTGCTTTTTCATTTATTGATAGAAATGACGACGGAGTGTTATCAATAGAAGAGCTCGATTTCTACATGTCGAATGACGTAATGAATATCGAAGAAGCCAAAGACGAAGATCCTTTCCGTGCCAACGATTTAATTATAAAAATGCTGAGCAACATGAATATGGCGAGCGAATATCTAGAAAATTTAAAGAAAAGATGGAAACAGAGAATGAAGAACAAGGATGCGTATGAACCAGAAGAGATTAAGACAAATTTAAAACCCGAGAAAACAGAATTGTAAACAAAAATGTTTATACTGCAGGGTGGTCGCTGAAAAAGCAGAAATTTGAAGGTCAGATGAGATCACGAATAAAATGCGTATAGGTTCAATTGAAACTATATTCCACAAGTTGACATTTGTAACGTTAGACGAGCTTGGACTTCTAGGTTAAGACACTGCTCTGATGAAGTTCACGGGTGTTCATTTTGAGTGTAATATGACATATGCCTTTGTAAAGGTTATTTTTTGTAAAAAAGACTAACTGTTTGACAAATTCCTTGTTTTTCTAGCGACCACCCTGTATATCTGTTTCATCTATTCACTGTTAACCATTACTCAGAAAGTTTCTTCAACATATGCATATTAATTACGTTTACTGGAATCGAATAAAATTTACAATGAGGCACATGACTTATTTTTAGCGCACAGTTCAATACAAAATGTTTGGTCAGATATTTAGTAGATAATCACTAATTTATAGATGTATTGTCAGTAGAGAGGAGCAAGTCCTTCACCGCGAGCTCTATTCGACGTTTCACTATTAATGTTGCGATTTAGTATTTCCGAGCTTCCCCGCCGAAATAAACACCCCCGCCAACGCTCAAAAAAATATATTATTTATTCAGTTTGGGTTAGGAATACAGATGGCGCTGGATTATCAAATTATTCTCAACCAGAACCCCAAATGGATAAATACTAGTTTGTTATTTAAAAACCTGACGGGGTTGTTTTACTGAAATCTAACATGTTTGCATTTGTGGCGAGGGCTTTGTACAATAAAACGCGAAAATATACAGAAGTTTTAACATTTTTTGGAAGATAATCACAACCTCAAGATGTTTAACGTGTAGCCTACCACCAGATACCAAGTAGAAATTAACCAGGAGGCAAAGAGGGGAAATTCGGTAACGTGGCGAACCGCGCGGCATCAAGTCCATGTTTCCGAAAACAAATTACTAACTAATCCCACACCCGACATGGACTGGTAACAGGACGAGAAGCCGTGGAGGTTCTTTTCTCGCGATAAATATATAACACTTATCCCTGTCTTGTTTGGTTGTCAGTCCTGATTGGGTATGGAAAAAGTTGCGCAACTGTTAAACATGTATTGACATAGGGCGTAATCGATGACCCTGAGAAGGCTTGGAGTCGGACAATCGTAGCGAATGTAATTATCACTGCGAATCCATGCAAGATAGATGAGATAAGGGCCACTATGAAGAAATATAAGTTCAACTACATATGTGACCGAAAGTAAATTGATCAACCTCCATACGGCTTTGACTGAGTTTATAGCATCTAATTAATGTGACGATTTTTACCTAACTATGCAAGTAGATAGCGGATTTGCTGTGAATAATCGATCGAAAAAAACAGTTTGCGTAAACAATATCGTCCATATTGATTACTCCCAATGGACAAATTGCAGTTAAAATCACCATGTCTTTATTTAGTGTCTGAGTAAATGGGTCGGGAAGCGCGATAATTGAGGCATTAAACTCGAATATTCGAATGTTGTGACGAAGGCTCGTATCATGGACGCCATGTGGATAGAGGCACGAAAAGGGCGAAATGTTTTAATTGTACAGTATATAAATAAAATAATTTCAAATTGAAAATACTTAAAACTCGTAATTTTATTTAAATATTAACGTGCAGGTATTTCAATTCAACAGATGTTGTTGAAATCGCCAGCCAATGGTCAAGTGGGACGCATTTTTAAACGTTGAGCGCCATTTTACCTAGATACACTACTGTCGGTATAATAAAAAAATGTAATGAATGCCCATTTATATACTTGGTCGGAATGACTGTCACGAAAACAGAACCTTATGTATCAATGCACAATACAATACACAATAATGAAAATAAAATATCACGAATAAACGTTCCACGAAGGCTTGAATTAGGATGCGTTTTGAACGTAGGCTATAAAGTAGTTAACTGATAAACTGAGTCATGATTTCTGTTCTTAATTTAAGCACTGTTCATGAAAACTGATAGAGATAATATGTGCCAATATGTACTAATACGACGGATTGGCGACCAGTTAATATTTGTTGAATCACTATATGTTGATTAAAGTCAACACTAATTTTTCAATATTTAATCCAAGTTCTGATTTTGTTTTTTCGTTATGTGCTGGTATGTAAATATTCGTGCAACAAGTCGACAATAAGGCGCGGCGGTGTGGCTCATCGTGGTGAATAAGTGCTTTTGAATTCTATTCGCAATGAAATTTACTGTAAATTAATAAAAATCATTTAGATGTGCGTATTATTATTTTAGAAATATATACCACCAATCCCAAGTGCACCGTAAAGAAATATACGGGGATTCTTGAGGAAGTGAAGGCATTACTCATGTCGTTGCAGCGCGATGGCGACATCCCACGATAGAGAATTGCGACACTTTTGGGGAAACCCGGCTTGTTTTGTTCGGTGTTCAAGAGAGCGTTGTATTTGCTTTTGTCTTGCGCAATCGGCGTTCCGACTTTTCTTAAATTTGTTGGTCGCAATTGCTGGTCGGTATTTGGACGTTTCGAGGCACAATAACAGGTACGGTAAATTGCTTCCTATATCAATCAAAATAAACTCTGTAATCAGTTTTTGTTAGATTGTTAACGCTTTACAGTCTGACAGTCTTGAACTGTACCGGTATCTGAATTTAGAGCCTGCCTGCGTCTTTCTTTGTTGTTTGTTCCTTTGGAAATTTTTGTTGTATTCAAAATACTGAAATAACAAGGCTAAGTAGACTAACTAATTTTTTAAATGTATGATAAATTATTGGAATATTTATTAAGTATTACCAAAGAGTGATGAATGTTCTAGTTTAGTCGGGTAGGGTGGACCGGTGAAGGGCAACCAGGTCTTATGTAGTTTCATATTTCTACAGTTCTAGTGCAGTAGTGGGCGTAGCATACTGTAACAATTTTTGGACATGTCAATCCTAACCCCCACCTGATTACGCTATACAAAATATTTTTCACTACGATGCCACAATCATGTCATAGACTATAGTATAGAGCTTGCCAAAGTATACAATATACCTACGATCGCTGGATCGCCCAAAATGGCATCTGTATTTTTGTATTTTGTTTTTCTGAACATGAGCAATTTTTGAAAGCTGAATTTTATGGAAGATAATCTTCACCTCACTCAGTTGTGATAGAGAAAACTGGGGTCTAACAAAGTAAACAGCGTCACTGCTTAAAATAATGCCAAACACAAATGTGTTGTGAAATTTTAATGTTTAAAATTTGGGTTCACTTTGCTAGACTCGAAAACTGGTATCATTCTTATATATTTTGTTATTTCTAATGATTGTTTTTCACAGCTCTTATCCAAACAAAATTCTGGAATCATGGGAGAAGCCAGCGATTGTAATGGCAATGCTACATTAGATTTGAAGCAAGATTGTCAACTGCTGCAGACTGATAGCGAAGAGTCAAGAGAAACGGAGGAAAAATTGTCTGAAAGTTCATTGAATTCAGATGAACAATGCGGATGTAAATTCAGCTGTTGTGGACAAAAAACTAAAAAGTATGTTGGATTTGGATTTCAAAATTGTTTTCATGAATTTTTTGGAACTTTAAATTGTAAGACTGCAATAATATATTGTGATACAAGAGAAATTTTTGTTAAGTTAATTCTTAGAAGTCTCTTTGTAACATTGAAAAGTGTAAAAGTGTGTCAAGTCAAGTTTTTTTTTTCCCAACCAGTAAAAAAACAACCATATACAGTCTTAAAGAAGATGAGATAAGGTTATTGATTGGAGATATCGGCACATTCCTATATCTGAATATTACACCGAATTGAATTTCTGAGTTTTTAGTTGGCAAATCCATGTGATGGTAATTACCGTATACAGGTATATACTCGCCTATAGGTTGCGCCACCGTATAGGTCGCACTATTAGTTTTGTGTTAAAAAAGTTTAATTTAGAGTTAACTCGCACATAAGTCGCACTGAAAATCCAGGGATTTAGAAGGCCCTTTCCCTAGCTTTTTTGCATAGGTCACTTCCTATTTTATTTTTTTTTGTAGGGCTTAATATAATCAAAATGAGTTGATGACACCTATGAGCGATAATAAGTGCATGCATGCAAGCGCAGACCATACATACGATTTTCATGAATAACCAACTCGCTGACGATAATAAAATAACTAACGTCAGCGATCTTTCTCAAATTGGGATCGTCGCGATGAGAAAACGAGAGAAATAGCCGTTTTAATGTAAACATAGTGTAATTTGTTATATATGTTTAATTAACGTTGCTATAACCTTATAATCTACTGTTATTTGAAAATTATTTTTGATCCTTCTGAAATCGAAAATATTTTTCACCTCATTAATTTCAGATATGCATTCAATGTATTCCAATCAATGGCAACTCCACAAGGAGCTCTGGCAATTTTATGCATCGCAAATATGGCTCAACAAACTATTATAAATGGCTTGATTGGCGTCAACATAAGCACTTTAGAGAAAAGGTTGGTTTGAGATTTTATATTTAAATAGATCATAATTTATTTAGATTCTATTTTGTTTGGAACAGGGGTGTGCAACAGGCGGCCTGAGGGTCACAACCCGCCTGCTGCCATTTAGTGTGGTCTCTGTCCACACTTAGATTTTTCCCCATCAAGCATAAAATCTGAATCCAACAGTTAATGTTCATAAAGTTGCTCACATGGGTAAAATTACATAATATTTTTTGCTCTTGTCGCTGCGTTAAATCTTTCGCTGCTTGCATGGTGTCTTTATTACTGCTAGGCTACGCAATAGCCACATTCTCTTCTCTTGCCTTTCCCGCTAAATTTTTTGTGTGGCCTGGCTAGATGTCTGAAGTTAGTTATATGGCCCACCGACAAAAAATGTTGTAGACACCTAGTTTAGAATATTGGAGAATATTAGAATATTAATATATCTTGTATTATAAATTGATTGTTTCTTCATCTTTCCTGTGTTCAATGATGCAATATTTGGAGGTCTGACTGTGTATTGATAGAAATTTTTACTGGATTTTGGACTCTAGGTTGACCCCAATTAATGTCAGCTCTTTATTTGAGCTATCAAAACTACGAAAACTTATTTGCCAGCATTCTTAGCTTTAACTAGAGACTTCAGACATTGAAAAGTTTGAGTGGAATCTTGAGTGAATTCTGATGTATTTGACGCAATGATGATCCTAAAAGCAGCAAAAAAATTTGAAATTCAACTCCAAATTAGAGATTCCAGTTACTGCGTTCTTCAATTAACATCATAACAAAGTTTTCAAGACTAATATATTCCCTTTTTTATACCAATGTGTTTTGTTTTTCAGATTTGAACTTCGAAGCACAGAAACTGGTATAATTGCAAGCAGTGCTGATATCGGAATCGTGGTAACGATGATTTTCATATCTTTATATCGAGACAAAGTCGATAAACCACGTTGGATCGGCTGGGGAGTTTTCCTCTGTGGTCTCGGCTGCTTTTTATTCGCTCTTCCACATTTCATCGCTCCCAAATATCAGTTTCTCAACATTGATATTACTAACTATTGTGGAAATGTAACAGAACCTGACTGCAACCAATCCAGTATTAGAAATTATAGGTAGGTGGCAATATTTATCTAACAGTAGGAATATCTTTAAAAATTTATATGTGCATGTGTAATTGAGACTATGTACATTCACCTGTAAATTCAGGTGATTGATCTCTGAGCAAGGTTAGGGGTGATCACTAGGGCTCGGCATTAGGCTTGCACGTAATTGACAAAAATCAATTCCGTAATTACGGCAAAATCAATTACGTAATGACCCCGTAATTGCGATATTTTTCCACGCATTTAAACCTATCATAACAACCAATTGAATCCACTTCTTTTCCGAATGGGACATTGAAGTTGGGTTTTCATGTTCTTGGCAGTACTACACGCCGTCGTCAGATGTTAAAGACAAATATCAAGGAGTGAATTCAAATTAATTTTATTCTGATTTTTATCTTTTGTGTTAGCTTTGGTTTTCCTTTATCACCTTCGCAAATTAACCGCCCATTTTTATGCGATCAATTTTATTTTATCATTACCGACACTGGTATACGGATATTTATGAAAACGATAGTTTTTTAAAACCACCTTAGTACTGAATAAAAATTACGGGTTTCTAATTTATTAACCAACGACGAGCGTATTCTCTCGTTTGATTATACTTGCGATTTCCTCGCGACGAAGACTTGTTTTTGCAGCGTCTTCTGCATTACCGACATTACTGCCTTGTTAGCATTTTATAATAATAATTATTGATGTCGACTTATTGAGGAGATTCCGATTACCATGCTTCATTTTACATTTAATCATTTCGCGGACTAAATGTTTATAACATTATTTGCGATAAATTTAGATCAAATATTATTCATTTGCGTATAATTTAAATACCGAACTTATATGATATGCCTTCTCCGAAAACACAAAGTTATATCGCAAAACAATGCATTTTGTGACATTTATTTTACACTCACGACCAATGTTCCCTCTAATTTTTTGTAGTATGTGTGCGCAGAAATTTTGGTGTGTGCGCACTTTTTTGGAAATGACTAATATTTGTGCAAAAACCAATGAAGAAATTTTGGCGTTCTAACCGGGTAATGGGTGGGCCAACAACAAACTTTCTCAACCTGCCAACCGAGCACATTGATACATTACATCGAAATACGTCTGTGCGCAGTAAATCTATGCGTGTGCGCAGCCTCTGAAAGCTGTGTGCGCGCGCACACGCGCACACCTTAGAGGGAACACTGCTCACGACATTTATTTGCTAACTCAAGTCGGCGATCCTATCGGCCGAAATTGATTATTTGGTCGGTATTCAAGTCGACGATAAATCAAAATAAGTTGCCGCATTTGGTAAGACAGTTAATCATATATGGCCGAAATATTGAGAGGAATTGTGAAAAACATCATGAGCAAGGCCAAGTCCAGACTGATATATAACGATAAAACCGTTAACAGAACATCAAGATTTTGTAATAGAAAATGGATCTCGCACAGAATAAACACACTGGCTCATATTTGATAGCAGTTAAATTTTTAGCGGTCCGCGAGGAATCCATCGTTTTGTTGTTTCTCTGCCGTCTCAGTCGCTTTACCGATGCCGAGAAGACGAAGTTGCGTTGGTTCATTACGCAATCTCTCTTTTGTCGTTATATTGCTATTTGATAAGCGCGACATTTATTATCACGGCGAGGTATTGGCGCGAGTGATCGATCGCTCTTTTCGCTTATTTGGTTCCAATTCGTCGCAAAAGCTCTTCGTTAAATTTCACAAGATCGTCGTGTTGAAAGGTTATGGATATTTTCCTGTTTATACCTCAAGTCTGAAATAAAACAGCCAAAAACAGTATGATATTCCATGTTCATATATCAAGTGTTGATATTAACAATAAAGAATGGTTAAGCATTGCTAATCCACACTTGGTGGGGAATTCCCACTATTTAAACGCGTGACTATAAAATAGAAACGGAACATATATACCATAAGTAACGGAAAACTGGAACAAGTAAATAATAAATAAAAGTAAAATGGACACAAATGTTTGATAGACCATGTTTGATAGATTGATCTCCTGCGTTCATTAGTCATTTCACCCGAAGAAGTTGAAACCGGGCGTGTTAGCGTCCATCGGTCTTAACACAATTCTTCCCCCTATCTACAGTTGTTATGTACATTGGCCATGGCCATGCTAGATAAGATGCGAGAGAAGTTGAAACCAGGTGTGTTGGCGTCAATCGGTCTCAACGCAATTCTATCCCTTATCTACGGTTAAGTTGCGGGAGAAGTTAAAACCAGGTGTGTTGGCGTCAAACGGCCCTACTCAGTTCTTCCACCTTAACTACGTTAATAATTCACATTGGCCATGCCAGATAAGTTGATAATAGGTTAGTAAATGGCAACGCGTCATGCCTTCCTTCACCTACGTAACAAGAGAGAGAAAAACGGCCGCGAATACCGGAACTCTGACTTCTTCTACTTGTTGAGCTTTCATTTTTCGCAATCGACGAAATTGACTGCTTTGAAGAAAGCTCGTTTCAATGCAATAATTACGACTTTACGTAATTCGTAACTTCCCTTCCGTAACTCCAAATAATTACGTAATTCCGTAAATCCGTAAATTACGTGCAAGCCTACTCGGCATTTTCGAATACCTGATGATTTCAGAATCAAATACTTTTTCGAATCGAATATAATTAAATATGACTTTTTTGTGATGGGTCCTCCAGACGCATAAATTATGAAAACATAGAATTCATCACTCAGTTAGTTCGCAGATCGTTCAAATACAATGAGAAACATATTTCAGCAATAACTAACTAGAAAAAACAAGTCATGTGACCGAATTGCATTGTAAAAATATAACTTTAATAAATAAAATTGTAGAATTCACCTCAACCTTTGGCGGATAGAAAACAAACAGGAAGGTGATAATTCAAAATTTTCGTTTAAACCAATTCTAATAATACACTATTCCAAGGGTGCCTAACCTTGCGGCCCGCCTGACTGTTTTTGCAACCCGCCCAATCAATTTTGTAAGCAGACTTCTCAATTTTTCACTATGTTATAAATAGGCTTAAGTATATTTCGTGGTTTTGATGTGATTATTTCCGCCATCTATCCACATCCGGATGCCAATTCTTATTATTACGTATTATGTATGTATCAAGTCTTGCGCACTGGTTATGTTTGCGTTGAATAAAATGCCGGAGATATCGTCACTGCATATCCGTCAATAATTCTGATAAAATTGGCTTAATGACAATTCTACATGTTTAAATTAGTATATACTGTATATTCGTCCAAAAGTTATTGTAATGTTTTTTTCATTAAATACTTGTATTGATGTTTCAAATTGCACGAAGCAGCCCACTAAAACTTGATGTTCCCACGACATTGGCACACATTACGCCCACACACATTACTTTTTAAAACAAATTTGATAGAAATATCATAATAATTATGTTTGAAATAAATTTTCAATTTTATAACTTTTAGCTGTAATTTATGGAATTCCCTATTATAAAAGAACTCAAATTTTTATTTTAAAATTAATAGAAAATTCCCCTGAAAGGTATTCTACATAAATCCCTATTAAAGGAATACAGTTTCAAATTTCGCAATCATTAAAAAACTCCCTGTCGGTTATCACACCTCGGAACAATGAATATCACTTTATGACGGAAACTTATTGCGTCAAAGATGCTTCCTTTTCATACCATACTATGATTAATCGTTACGTTGCTTAGGTTCATGTAATTGCTTCTACGTGCCCTCGATATGTGATTTCAAGTTTCAAAACATTCAATACTTTGCGTAATCATAAATAGCTTTGCTGAAATTCAGATATTCTTACTCTATAGCAATACTTTACTAATAAAATTAGCACCTATGCTCTCTGATAAATTTTCTCTTCACAATTTAAATGAATTTAGACATATAATTCTAGAATATCAAAAATAAATATGAATGCCTATCTTCTTTAGATGAGTTGTCGAAACATTAAGGCTATTAAATTACCTGCTATAGTTCCAATAAATTCTGGAAAATTCTGGAATATCAAAATATATATGCATACCTACCTACCTTCCTGAATTATAGGTCGTCCATAAAGTCTATAAATTTTTTTTTTAAATTTTAAAAGGAATTTATCGATAACATATATTGTTTTGTCCTCACAGATTATTAAATGAAAAAAATTTAAAAACAACAAACATGGATTTATCTCGCACGGCATTGGCTACTCACATGTCCTGCTTGTCTCAAACTTGTACCACTAGTCCGTCCCACTCTTGCCTTGCTTAAGCCACACTTGTCTTAATTTATTAATCAAACTTGTCTTACTTTCCTCGCACTTGCTAAGCTTTACCCACTTATGTCTTTCTTTTACCACACTACACTCATAATACTAATATTTTCAATTTCAGATACATTTTCATTGTTGCAATCTCTATAATCGGTTTATCAATCTGTCCAATGTACGCTCATGGAGTCACCTATCTTGACGAAAATGTGAAAAAGAAGAATTCCGCTATGTACAACTCTATTTACTTTGCCACAGGAGGAATCGGACCAGCACTCGGATTTTTATGTGGGGGAGCAGCGTTGGAATTGTACACAGACTTCTCTGCAAATTCAGATGAAATAACCATTGACAGCACGAGTTATTTATGGGTTGGGGCGTGGTGGACTGGCTTTCTATTTTGTGGGGGAATCATGTTATTAATTTCAATTCCGATATTAATGCTCCCCAAATATCTTCCGGGAACAGCGGAACACAGGAAAAATAGAAATGTGGAAGTTCAGGAGAATCATCTTATAAAGACTGAAATCAATGAGGAAAACGAAAAGTGAGTTTCTATTTGTGCTGAATTTAATTCTGGTCTTAGCTAAACTATCAGCTAAGATGGATAGAGATGGGTTTTATTATATTTTGGGCACTCCAGAAGTGTATGTACCAATATTGAGGTAACTAATTTTGTTCGCCTATTTTACATCAAGTTGTGTAAAGGGCCTGAAACCTATGGGCAGGGGGTATATTCACTTGGCTAACAAAGACAGTCCCCGAACTCGTAATAGAACTAAAATAAGGAAAATCGGAATAAAACTAACAACCCTAACCTGGTACATACATCACAATTCACAGAAGTATCATATTTTATTTTGTTTTATTTTTTGTCAGTTCAACTTACAGATCATTCTTTGTTTCTTGTAGAAATATTTTCAACATATCTGGTTTACCATATTCTGCAGCAATTAAAATATGTTTGTTTATCCATTATTTTGAATACTAAATGTAGAAGGGCAAATTAAAGTAAAATATTTGAAATATTTATGGAATCAATATTTTATTATTAATTTGAAATTTAGTGAAGTAATATTTGATTCAAGCTGAACGCTCGTCCCTTTGTTCGAATAACCTTAATTGACGGGTGCTTCAATATTATAAGCTGTTGTGCTTAGTGATTTCTATTTGTGCTCGCTATAGCTTGCACAAATAATTTTACTGTGGCTTATCTATAGCAGGGCTACTCAACTCTATTTTTACCGAAGGTTCGCATACAAAACTTCAAAAATATTTGGGTCCGGTCTTTCCAGAAATTATATTTCGGCATCCTTAAACACGCAATTCCTCGGCCGACTAATGATTATTAGCTAATCAACCTTGTTTATTATGGCGTTATAGTTCTTTTCGTATATATTTAAATCTATAAAAGTCATTTTATAAATGGAAACTACAAAAGTGGGGTTAATGAGCCAAAATAAAGAATTAGGCGCGGTCCGAATTGAATACCCAAAGGTCCAAATTCGGACCGTGGTCCGCCAGTTGAGTAGCTCTGATCTATAGCATCCACTTGAAGGATTTGCTTATTCAATTCACATAGTAACAGGAAGCATATGGTGTTAACAGCTAATGCTAAACAATGAACGGCCTTCTCAAATATCTCTTACAAAGCGTTGCAAGTATGAAATATGCACTGGTTTAGGGTAAAATTAGGGCAAAATTCAGGTCTAATTTCAGGTTTTATAGTCATCTCATTCAAGCATTTTTGTGATGTGACACAGGTTACAAAAAACAAGCAATAAAAAAAAATACTAAATGGTGAATAGGCAGTTTGGCCTCTTCACATATTAATCTAGATTGTCCTAATTTCTTTGAAACAAATTCAAATAAAACCTTATTCCAAACTTTAAAAAAGCTGTATAGCAATATGGCGGCAAGCGTTTACCTAATAATGTTCAACATTATGCATCACTCAATCAGCTGTTGAACTATGATAATAAAACATTTGTATTTTCAAATTCCACAGGCCTACTTCCACCTGAATTCAAACAAACCTTGCCTCCTTTGGTTGGAAGTAAATACCCGGTAAATAATGAATGCATTTCATTGAGAATTGTGTTTCAAACATGACTAATGTTGGTTATTGGTATCGATGTGAATCGATTGGTTTGTAAACAATTTCGTGTAACTGAAATTTGCTCTTTCTTGTCAACAAATTTGGAAATTGAAAATTTAATGGAGGCGACTTGGGAAACAAAATTTTTCAAGCCCAATAACGAGTATGTTGAACTGACTGCTTGTTAAAAGGTTTTCGATTAGGAGTTGTTGAATATGCCATCAAAACAAAATGATTCGTATCATGTGTTTGACTTGCATGGTATTCAGTAAAGAAGCAACATATCACTGTCATTAATCATAATTTAAATACCAACAAATTCATAATTTCACAAAAGGAGAATCTAATGTATTCTCTCACTTTTAAAATTTTTTGATGAGGATTACACCATGTTTCTGAAACATGAACATTATTAGGTCAAAGTATGTTGTTAGTCATCTGTTTAGTAACAAAGTCCAGTTTAATTACTACATGTTAACTATGGACTTTGAACTTTTAAGATTTATGACCTGATATGAGGTCACAAAGATATTGATATTGGTCACAAAGAATTTATCTTACATGTTTAAATTAATTAAAAATATAGAATTAATGCTGTTTTTCAATAATTTGAGTTATATAAAATAATAATATAAATTAATTAAGGATATTTAGAACTAAACTAAATTGAAATCATGGATGTCCAAAACGAAACAAAAATTAGTGTTCATTTTTAAACACTTAACCGGAAGCTTTTGGCACCCATGGATTCCCTGTTATTATTCCAGTGGTATTTTGATTGGTAGAATGCAAATCTCATTATGTTCAAATAATTCATGCTCAACAAAGTGAAAAGTCAAGAAATGAAACTCGGAAAAATGGGGGAGTTTACTTGTATATGAAATAGTAAAATCAGTTTTTTGCCTAGCATGGTGGGGTGGCTTCCTCCAACTGCTCGTGCTCCTCCTCATGTGGTGCCAGGGGCCCCCCGGTTGGGAACCATCGACTTAAATTATTGTTTATCTCAACTTCTTTACATTCCCGAATTTGACTCATTGAATATATTTCTCAGTTAAATAGGAATAAATTCACCATTCCATCCATGAAAATTTTATTTTAAAATTGGTACTCCCGTAGTATGTGAACCAAGATGGCGGACACTGGAACGTTGTATGTGTAATAGGTTAGGGTGTCCACCATAATTTCGGGTACAAATACTACGGGAGTCACTTGGCTAGTCCCTGAACTCGTAATGAAACTAAAATTGGAATAAAATTATGGCCTAACCTGGTACACATACTACGTTCCAGTGCCCGCCATCTTAGTTCACATACTACGGAAGTACCTTAAAATGTAGTCAGAATAGTCGATGGTTTGATTTGGTCACCCCTGTTGTCTACCCTGTCCTAGTTCTCAGTCCACATTTTGCGTAAACTAGAAAAGAACTTTATATTTACTTTCTTATTTCGGGGAATCATGCGAAGTTGGATTGGATGAATCTAAGTTTCATACGAAATCAACTGTTAAACTATTACTTATTTACATATTGATGGCCACTTTTATAGGCATTTTATCATTATATTTTGAAGCATTTCAAACTTTTACTTTGGTCCCAGACAAGCGGCCAAATTTGATTTTTGAATATATTCGGAATAGTTGATTATTGGATATAGCAGGACTAGCTGCTAACCCTATCCTGGTCCTTGATCACTGTCTGAGTCAAAACTAGAAAAACAAATTTAGAATTACCTTTCTATTTCAGGAAATCATGTCAAGTCGGATCGGATATCCTTCTACTTTTGAAAAACAAAGCTTATGTATTCACAACTCTCGCTGTCACCACAAACTGCGCTTTAATTTACGGATTCAATACTTTTGGAGCTAAATATCTCGAGTCAGTTTTTGGATTAACGCCGTTTCATTCCTGCCTTCTCTTTGGGATAGCGGCCATTTTTGCAAACACTGGAGCTCAGATTACCAGCGGGATCATTATTAAAAAATTCAATCTTTCCGTTGAAGGAATAATAAAGTACCTTTTGGCTTGCGGAGTGTTTTCTGCTTTTTGTAGTATCGGATTCATTGTGCATTGCCAAGATATAGGTGAGATTATTTTGAATTTGATAAAAACGTATCTAAGTGAATATATTGGTATATTGGTACACATACTTCTGGTACACATACTTCTGGTACACATACTTCTGGAGCATCAGGTTGGGTGTGGGAACAGTTAACCTATCATCGTTGTTCCATATATATGGACTGTGTTACTTGGTGAATATTTCATTTTTCCCAGCATTACCAAAGTTGAGATTCTTCGATTTTCTATTTTTAGATCTTGCCGGAGGAACAGTTCCATATCCCAACTCGACCTTTGAACTTACACCCTACTCATCATGTAATGAAGATTGTGGATGCTCAACTGATCGTTATCAACCAGTATGTGGAGAAGGAATCACATATTTTTCGCCTTGTTTTGCCGGATGCCAAACTCAAATCAGCGAAACTTCTTACACAAACTGTTCCTGCGTTTCGAACTTGAATTCGACCGAAAATATTGTTATTTCGTCAGAGAATTGTGATAGAAATGCGTGTCAAATGATAATTCCGTTTCTTCTTATTATTTTTCTATGTTTTTTCTCGTCGCTCCTAACTTACTCTCCAGCGCTTCAAGTGACAATGAGATGTGTTCCTTTCAATAAAAGAGTGAAGGCAATTTCATTGCAGGTTAGTAAGAATATGTACTGTATTATTTCATTACAATTCTCAGTAAACTAGTGGTGTGGTCACATTGAATTTTGAGATCTGGAATTGTTTATATCAGGGGTGTGCAACCTGCGGCCCACAAGAAAAGATTGTGCGGCCCGTGGAGAAGTGCCAATTTTGAATGCGCAAATTATTGGAATGTGCGAGTAATTCCAATCCTTCTGCTAATCCCAAGCCTATACTTGGGTCCTATTTATTGTCTATTCCTAAAACGTTACAATTACCCAACAGCTAGCTTGTTGGAAGCGAACAACGCATGTCACAAGATCAATCACCAAAATTTTTGTACCTACAACTATTAGAAAGGCTACATTAAATAAAGATGCGTCCCGCGATCATATCAAGTTATTCGTATCCGGCTCTCCTGTTTTAAAGGTTGCACACCCCTTGTTCATATTATTTGGGGCGAGTTTCTGTATGTTTAAAATAGCATGTCTGGATGCTGACTTGCAGTAGTATTCCAATTTACAAATAGTTATAAAAAGAGAAGAAATGTGGCCGATTAAGCAAATTATTTTATTAAAAATGGAATCTGAATTAATATCTAGATTCGGCCAAATATTCTATGCAAAAGTTGAAAGTTAAAACATGTCATAAACATATTTAATTGCTTCATTAATGTATTGTATTTATGTAGAAGACATTGGACATTGGAACAAGACATTGGAAAATTAAACCTTAAGCAGTTAGAGAGAATTAATTAGGTTTTATTACATGCTTTATTATTAATGATAGGGTTGGCCATAAATTTTGCTGACACAAAAGGTCAGTGCATTGTCATAAACTGTTTTATTACTCAACTGGATTTAGAATGATAGGGTAATCAAAATGGCAATTACAACTGCTGAAATGTTACCATGTGGAGCAAGAGTTATGATGCACATAGAACCAAGAGTTCAAAACTGATTTTTTCTTCTTTTCTCTTTCTTTGGTAAAATTGAAAAGTTTGCTGTAAACTTAATAATTAAAAAATTAGGCCGACTGTTAACGATGTTGAATGGTTAGCGAAAAGTGGCACGAAGGCTGATCGCCTATTTAGTTAGCGAGGCTTGTCCGCCTGTTTGTCGCCAGAGGGAAGACAAATTTACGACCCAGAGTTGCAGAAGTACGTCAGAGATTGCCATGGCAACTAATCTACTCGCAATTTCGATCCCTGTTTCGCGGAACACTCCAAAAAAACAGTGGTTTCTAACCTATGTTGTTGAATCCCTTCTTCCGTCTTTTTTGAAACTCTTTATTCCCCCTGACTTTGCATAAAAAGTACATTATTTATTCAATCTTCAATGGATCTTCAGCTGGTGTCATGCACAAGTTGCTCTCTCACTTTTGTACAGTTCGTTTCAAGTAGTTTATATTTATATAATGTGTGCATAAATAAATATTATAGTGATAGTAAAAAAAAGAGCTTTAGTAGTACTATATCACAGGGCTACTCAACTATTTTCACCGAAGATCCGCATATAAAACTTCTAAATTATTTGGGTCCGGTCTTTCCAGAAATTATATTTCGGCATCCTCAAATGCGCAATTCCTCGACTGACTGAAAAATGTTTCCTTGGCACCTAATCTAGATACTTTGTTTTGACATTTGAGGTTAAAAAGAATTTAGTTCCTAACAATACTTGATGCAGGGTGGGCCGAAAAAAGGTTACCATTTTTTTCTTGTCAGAATGCAAAAAATGGTAACATTATTGAAAACTGGGTGCTCCAGAAGTATGTGCACCAAGATTTCGCACAACCTAATAACTCTAGACTGGTACACATACTATGTTCAGGATGTGCACCATCTTGGTGCACATACTTCTGGAGCTCCGAAAACTGTTTATTTCTCTTTTTTCCAGGAGGCGTTTGTGCGTCTTGTCGGCATCATTCCTGGTAGAGTAATCGTTGGAGCGGTTCTTGATGTTGCATGCGTTAGCTGGAGCACAGAATGTGGTGAACAAGGGTCGTGTAGAACGTACAGGAGATTAGAAGTCGCCAGGAATAATACTATTTTGTTACTTATACAAACAGTGAGTACAAAAATGTTTAATTTTAGACCCGCATTATACCAATTGTTCCAACATTTTTTCGATCAATTTTTCCTGTCACATATATTTAAAACTTTTTATTTCCTTTTTCATGATCAATAAAAACTCATTTTCCAATAGGGTGTTTCACGTAACGGCTTGTCAGTTACGGCTTCCTCCGTGGGTGCACTATTGGCAAAAACTTGTATGCTTTCCGTTCTCTTGCTATAAAATTTAATATTTTAATTGAAAAACTGTAAATTTTTTGTCAACAGCCTTGGTTGCTTTGTACCGCCGAATTTGATAAACACCTTGGCTATTCTAATAAGAATGATCCTGTACATCCTAACCTGCAGTAAAAACCAATATGCTAGTTAATATGCATTTAATACCATCTTGGCTATTCTAACAAGAATGATCTTTTCTTTTCAGGTCGTATGTGCAATATTCTACTTCCTGGTATACCTTGTTTATAAACCTGCTGGAAGTTCTGAACAGAAAGAAGAAAATGATAATGAAATTATATAATGAATACTTTATGTTTATATCTCTTCATACTCGTTACATACATCTTGATACATGATATTTTTTGTCAAAATTTAAATGGACTTGGGTATTGTCTGTATGTCGTAGGGCCAAATTTACTTTTGTGAATTTAAATTCACAATCATCTATATTACGAAGAATTTCAAAATTTTCAATATACTGACATGCCTATAACGATGATCCTCTTGAAAGAATATCATCTTGTATTGTCTGTATGTCGTAGGGCCAAATTTACTTTTGTGAATTTAAGTTCACAATCATCTATATTACGAAGAATTTCAAAATTTTCAATATACTGACATGCCTATAACGATGATCCTCTTGAAAGAATATCATCTTTCATAATCTAATCCTAATCTGACAGTTTATGTTTAAAAAGGTGCCCACAGGGGTAGAAAAACAATAAAAGGCTTTTTTGCTATGGTCGCTGTGTTTATTCTTTCTCCGTTTTCCCCAGTGTCTTTATTACTATAATTCGTTGTATACATGGTTGTGTCGATGTGTGATCCAGCTAGATATCTACCAACCCGCCCTCCAATGAAAGATATAGCACGCCCTTGGTCTAAATCTATTATTTTTTGCAATTAAATTTATAAGAAAAATGTGAAATAACAATGTTCATAGTTAAAGATACAGCAATTGTGTCTGTAATGGTTCTGTGTTTGTTTCACATTTGTTAAATTCAAATTGGAATTATCAAAGTGCTTGTATGATAAAATTCTTTGACAGCTAAAACAAGACTGCAAACAAGCAGGCCATGTTAAAAGAAATTTGTTAGATAAATATATTTAAATGAATAATTAAGGTGAATTGACTCCAAATTTTTTCTTTCGGCACTTTCATAGATAATTTCTTTATTCCCTTTATTTATAAAACAGTATAATTATTATAGGCATGAAATGCAATATATTAGTTTGATAATCGCTTATTTAGTAGCATATGTGGCTTCAGCATTTTCTATATCTATGCTTTGTGAATTATAATTATTATAGTTGATTACTTTGCACAAAAAACTACTGTGGCGATTTCACTTTTCTATTTAGTATAACCAGCTATTAAATGTAGAATATAACTAAGTTTAAAAAATAATTTTTTTTTTGTTTAAATCTACTAATACTGGCATCTTGGTCAAGCTGAAGCTTTTTCTAATCACTTGGTTCTAAGCCCAATAACTTTAATTTGTGTTAAGCATTTCAACATATTTAAGTAAACAGAGGGGTTAGAATACTTTAACTTCCTGCTTTGCCACTTTCACTGTCACTTTGTTTATGGTACAAGAAACATAATGAAGTTTTTTTGGTGAATATTTTTGTGTTTCAAGGAGGCTATCGTATTTTGCCTTATTCGAACCTTCTCGACTCGAGTGTATGGTGTAATACTTTTGATATAGTCATTGTTTTTGTTCTGATTTTGAGTAACTACAGTAGATTTTTTCAATTACAAACTGTAGTTGAAATATATTCCATCAGGCACTACTTATTAATACATTCCCACTTTTTTTATGTTTTTTTTTTATATTTATTTTTTTTATCTCTGAACAAGGCTCTATCAAGCCGTCATATTTACATGAGGATCTACTGTTTTTGAGATGATATCAGGATCTTCCTGTCTATCATTGCATACCCAATATAATACACTCTGAATGAGATGATACCTGTAGACCTGACATGGAAGAAGTATGACCCGCGGGTGAAATCCGGCTTGTTGGGTGATTCAATCTGACCTGTTTTGTTAACGCTTCCCTAACATTCTTTTTTGTTCATACCTTACGCATTCTGGTCATGTGATTTATAAATTCTATTGCTGCATCCCTTTTCTGAACCCTAATTTGTGAAGATTGATAACTAAATTGTTACATCACACTTATATGACCTGCCAATGAGCCAGTCTAATTGAGCAATATTTTTGGCCTTGACACCCCTGCTGTAGACTGAAGAGTTTCAAATCCAAGATCTTTAAACAGTGGTTTCAACACCGTTAGGATCAACATTGTAACCAATAGGCCAGGATTTTTGGGCCACGGACCCTTGCTTGTGAATCTTTATTTTTGATGGACCCCCAAGTTTTGATCAGTATTTTGTAATCATATCGGTAAGAGCTGAAAATGCTGCCTCGCACATGTATGTCACTGCAAAAGGCAATAAAATTTTGAATTCCCTTTTCTGACAGCAATGATGGGGCAACGTTTCCAACACTCAACCAAAAAGACGCAATCGCTTTTTGTTTGAGTCCAATCATTGAAGATAAATCAGACTCTTCTCAAAACGTTACGGAGCCCCGGTGCAATCATCACTGACCCCCTTGGGGGTCGTGGGACCCAGTTTGGGAAACCCTGCACTATGCTTCTGCTCCCTAAAGTGGTTTTTGTCCCAAATTTAAGCTGATTTTCATCATTTTAAATTAGGAACCTTCTATACTTTTGTTGTTCTTTCTTTTAAAGAAAATTATTGTAATTTTTTGATGGGTTCTGTACCTATGTTAATATACTTGAATCAAATTTTTTTTCTAAAATTAATATCCTGTCATTTGAGATTTCTGGATTCATATCAGCTCAGTATTAAAGTCGCACATCCTTCTCATATTTTATTGCACAAATTATTATAATTCAATCTCTTCATTGTGAATATCGAGTATTGTTTGATTAATCATCATATGCATGTTCATCGTTTCACTGTTTAAATCAACTTCTACTGTGTCCCTAATCAGTCAAGTTTAATAATTTACACAACTGAATACTTCCTATGGAAAAAGGGTAATAATCAAGAATATTTAATGATTTAAAAGTCGATCAAATTTAGTTTAGTTTGATGCAGTTATCTAGGAGATTTTTTGATTGAAATTGAAAGTTTGGGACCACATTTTTATGGTGCTTTCACGCTGCTACGAGAGTTTTGAAAAGTAATCCTAACTGGTGAATTTACATCTAGTTTTGATATCACATGTAGAATAAATTGCTTCTCAATGTGTTGTTGTGCATGTGTGCATTTTATTTAACTATATAAATATAGTATACATGCTGGTAATCCCAGAGCCTAATTTATTCCTGTGCAAAAATACAATTTTGTAACGTTTAGATTCTGAATTTTGAGGCATCATCGATCATTAGCCAAATGTCTTATTTGTCATATTCATCTGTAATCTTGCCTAGGAAGCATTTTCCATAATAAATTCTTGCACAGTCCACCTGTATTTGCACCAGTCTAGCATTTGCAGATGAATTTAAAGCAGTAATTTGTATATTCACTCAAAATTAACTACCAACATCAACGAACTCATGGGTGATACATGGTGTTCGTCTCAGTATTTAGATTAACCTTCATTTAATAACATTTTGTTTCAATTTTTTATAAATTTATTAAAATCCGAATCCCATTTTTCTACTGTGTTCATTGCTATTAATATTTGAAATTGTGTTGTTAGGCTTTCTGTCGATACTGTGTCTCGTGTTTTTGATCACCTTTATGTGCTCTCGTAGTTTTAATCTATGTGTCTCTGCAGTCCAAATTATGTGCTATTTTGCTATTTAATTTCAAATCTATGTGATACTGTGTGTCTTTGATCACCTTTATGTGCTTTCTTAGTTTGATCTATGTGTTTCTGCAGTCTAAGTTATGTGCTATTTTGCTATTCAATTTCAGATCTATGTGATACTGTCTTCGATCACCCTTATGTGCTTTCCTAGTTAATCTGTATTTCTGCAGTCTATATTATGTGCTTTTTTGCTATTCAATTTCCATCTATGTGTTTTCTTACTGTTCATGATATCATTCTTGTGTGTGTTTTTGATACCACACAAATTTATGTGCTTTACTTCTGTTATTATGATTTATTATTCTTGTTTCTCAAATTTACGAAAACAGTTTCACATTTTGCTCAAATAAAGTCAGGAATCATGCAACATGGTATATTTTAAAAGGGCGCCAGTCTTTGAAAGCTCTTGGATTAGCAGCCACAGAAACCAATTTATTTGATGGTGTTGAGTCGTATTGAGATTTTCAACTGAACTAGCATGAAATTAAACATCCTCCGCACATCCTCAAAACTATATTGAACAATCTGAAACTGTTTTTATGGTGAGACTGAGAATCGTTGTCTCATCATTACTAAAATGATGAAGATTGTTTATCGGAACATGGTAAATGCTTTTAGAGAGTAAATTGTTGCAGGAACTATTTGTTGTTTAGACCTGAATTTTTTTTTGCCAGCGAATTTATATTTAAGCATTTAAGAAAACTATACATTTTGAACTCGCAGTGTTCCTACAAGTAAAGGAATGCCACAGATACCTAAGTGAGACGAGTGCCAAGACCAAAGTTACAAATAGCATTTGATTCAACAGAAGCTTAATAAAGTGATCCTGAATGACACTTGCTTTTGATTTCCCTGGTCTAGATTTCACGTACCGCGTTTTAACAACGTTAGCTTCGGAATGTGTACATAATCTAATTACGACACTCAATTCGGTATTCTCCGACTTAATTTTAGATTGTTTGATTCATTTAGCAGTTTTTCACAACGAAAGGCGTAGTAAGCAGCCTGGAGGTCCGCCCCCAATTTTTTGAAATGCAATTTTGCAGCGAGACAAATTCCTAAGTCTTTTTCAACACCATTTCGAGCGATTTGCTGAAAACCTGATGTTTCCCAGCCTATTATATCAATAGTCCTTTCTCAAAGTCTGAAGTCCTTTGAGATCGTGTGCGGAAAATCTCGTCGCAAGAGCACTTTAGGGTAAAACAAGTATTTGCAAAAAACAATATCAATATCCTTATATCAATAGTACTTTCTCCAAATGAACCAATTGAGATATAGCCTAAATAACTTCTGCAACGAAGTAAGTCCCTTGAGATCGTGTTCGGAAAATCTCGCCGCAAGAGCATTTTGCTGCAAAACAGTATTTGTGACAAAAACAGTCAGGTTCATAGGGTTAGGGTATGCTCTCAAATAACGAATCTTGTTAAATAAAAAGGTACTTCAAAAACCTGACTGCTTTTAACACAAGTACTTGTTTTACAGCAAAATGCTCTTGCGACGATTTTTCATGCGACCTATTTCCTATGCGACGAAATTTCCAAAAACCCTTTGAGATATTGTTGGATATCATGGCTAGTTTTATTGAGCCTCGTTCGGAGCAAAAGACACAAATAAGCGTCGTTTTATGTCAATATACAAAATGGCTAGCTACGATCTTGTTCCACAATAATTATGCGCTACTATTCTACGTCGACTATTCCAAAACACAACGTGATCACACTCGGATATAGATTATATTTGTAAAATATGGATAAAACACTTAGGTATTTGTTTGAGGTAGACAAATATTGGGAAAGAAGCGAAAACAAACTTTTAGCTAATGTAGTAAGCAGCCTTTTCAAATGATTACTGGCAATTTAATATGAAGGAGAGGAAATCCAATAATGTGCAAGCTGAAACTTTCGCTGAAGATGAAGGTGTTGATACCTCTTATAGAGAATTTAAAAACAAAAAATGTAAAAGTTAATAGCACAATTTGGATGGTGAACAGTGCACTTGTTTGCAGAATAAAAAGCACCGGATTTTCTATCAATATATATAAATGAAATAAAAAAAATCCCCATAATAATTTAAAATCACAATAATTAAATAAAATTTACAGTTTTTATCAGTTTTAATTTAATCTGTTTAGTTTTGCTTGTTTAGGGTGAAAAACCTAAAAAGACAAATATTATTGAAAGATAATAATTTGTAGTTTTGTTCATTTCGATTGTTTCAGTTGGAATATGTAGCACACATGATATTAGGAAAGTACAGTTAGATAGAATGACCATAAATCAACATGGAACGAGCATTTAAAATCATTAATTTTGCAGTTTCATCATTTTGCTTGTTTTGGGTGAAAAATTTGCTAGTTTGAATTTGTTAGGCAAAGAAAAGCATAAATGAAACAATTGGAAATCATATAAAATTTACAGTTTTCGTTTTTCATCTTGCTCATTTTAGGTGAACAATTCAAAGTGTTTGTTAATTTGAATTAGGTAAGAAGAGAATAGCATATATAAAAGTAGGTATGAGCCAAAAGCAACAATTGGATGAGGACTCAAAATCGTATAATTTGCAATTGATTTTGCATGTTATAGGTGAAACACTTAGAGATTGTTTGAATTTGATAGGCAGAGAAAAGCTTACATAAAAAATGAAACAAATGAAAATCAAATACAATTTGCAGCTTTCGTCAGTCAATTTATTTAAGGGCAACAATTCAGATTGTTTGGTGAGCATGATCCAGAAGCAAAAATTGTATGATAATTTTGCCTGTTTTAGGTTAAACACTAAAGAGATGGTTTGCCAGTTTGAATTATGTAGGCACAGGAAAGCAAAATTGAATGGAGAGTTATCATGATCAATAACCAAGGATTTATTCATTTTGCTTGTTTCAGGTGAAAATTTCAGAGTGTTTCGATTAGGTAGGCAAAGAAAAGACGTCTATGAAAAACAGGAATGTAGGAAAATTGACATGACCACGAATAAAACAATTGGAAATCAAATAAAATTTGCAGATTTCGTTAATTTTTTCATTTTGTGCTCATTTTAGGTGAAAAATTCAGGAGTGTTTGCTGGTTTGGATTAGGTAGGCATGGAAAAGGATATATAAAAGTAGGCATGAGCTAAAAGCTTGATTTTGCTTATTTTATTGAAGAGACCGTTTGCTAGATAGAATTGGGTAGGCAGAGAAAAGCATACATAAAAATAGGAATAAAAAGTTCATGATTTGCTGGTTTGAATTACGTGAACCTGGAAAAGTAAATAAGAAAAATGTAATGCAAAGGCATGGTTATGCATTGGACATTAAAACTGCAAGGAAATTATGCTGTTAATAAAGATCAAGGCAAGATATATAAATTGTAATACGATATAAAAATTATGACTTGTGAAATAGTTGCAGCAAAATTGAAAAATTCACAGGCAGTAATAAACACTGATGATTTCCTTATATTTAATTGAAGATTATCATGCATTATAGATAGAGAAGAAAAAACAATACTTGCACTAAAATACTAAATTTTTCTATTATACCCACTATGGCTCTATATTCTATAATGATAAGGATAGGTTAATTAATAATACCTTAATAAAGCTGTTAAAATATACTCAACATGCATCAGTTTGGAAATGGGTGCTCCATAAGTGTGTCTACCAATATGATATATCATGTAAAGAACCGATACCAGGGAAAATGGTGAAATTACTAAACTAAGGAAAGGGACATGTAAGGAAAGGGTAATAACAGCTTGCTAATACTAATGACTCATAGACTAAACCTCACTCATGACATGGCGTAAAAGAATCGTAAGACTCGGTAAAATATATGAGGGTATTTTGCCCTGGTACACACACTACAGGAGTACCTGGGAATGCATTTTTAAGCATATTTAGGAAATGCATCGGTGGTCAAAGTAAATTTTTTATGAACAGTCGTTGAACAGTCGTTCAAAGCCAGGTCATGTGCATTCACTCAGAAGAAGAGATATTGACATCTGAGAGAAATTTTAGGCCATTACTGTCCCGAGAGCCACTGAGACTATAAGGAATTTGTCTTTTCAGGGAAGATAATAAACTTGATACTTTTTGAACATACTATACATCAGAGGTGTGCAACCGCTGGGCGCACCTTTATTTAACATAGGCTTTCTTGTAGTTACAGACACAAAATTTTGGTTATTGATCTTATGACATGCGTTATTAGAGCATTGTAACGTCATAGATAATAAATTACACTCAGGTATAGGCTTTGCAATGAGATAGGAATTGCTATCACAAACTCATTTCGCCGGTCGCACAATTTTCCCTTGTGGATGCATTTGAATACCCCTGCAATACATGTATGAAGTCCTATAATACTAGCATTAAGAGAAAAATTTGCATTGCTTCAGGATGCTAGCGAGTATACATATTTAATAAACATAATTGAAATACACCAACAAATCATAAAAATATCACGATTCTTTTTTTGAATTCTCTTCTTCTAGTAACTGAACAGTGGCGGCAGTTTGTGGATCATTATTATCATCAGTTGAAGTTGTTTTATTCACATCTTCTTTTGCATCGAGTGTTCCGTTCTCATGTTTATCCCCTTTAGCACCACCTACTGGTTTGTATGTGAGTAGAACAAGAACATAGAATACGGCACAGATGACCTGAAAATACGAAAAAGTCAAAATTTTAATTCAAATAGTTATCAGAACATTGTTTGTGTTTAAAGATTCGTATTGTGTTTTTATTTTTATTTGATATGCACACCCGATATGGTCGAAACTCGATATTCCCATAGTATGTGTACCAGTTCAGGGTTAGGCCATAATTTCATTCCGATTTTCCTTATTTTATTTCTATTACTAGTTCAGGGACTGTTTGTGTTAACCAAGTGAATATACCCCCTGCCAATAGGCTTCAGTCCCTTTACACAACTTGATGTAAAGTAGGCGAACAAAATTAGTTACCTCCATATTGGTAATTACACTTCTGGAGCACCAAACATTGTAATGTGTTTTTTATATTTATACATACATGATATGGTCAAAACTATATAATTTCTATGCTAGATCCATCCTAAAATGATATTTCTAAAGAATACATAGTTGATTTAGTTTCAATGAAGATTTGCAAGAAGGTTAAGATGGACAATCAATCGATTGGTACTTTTTTTGTTAGAGATTTCAAGAAATGAATGAATGTCTTTTTGGCCATACCGCTTCGATTGCTCAAAATAATAATTTTTCTTATGTGAAACTCTTCTGTTTCACACTTAAAATGAGGAATTTTATTAAAAAACCAATATAAATAATGTCTAATTGAATTTTCTATTTGTTTTAAAGAAAAACAGTTATTTCAATCATCTATGTGAATTGTCTTTGCAACAGCGACAACAAGCTAATGGGATAGAGCAGTTATGTGTGATGTCATGAGTTCAAGGTGACCGACCATGACCAACCAGCTGTGAAGGACATCTCTGAATTAGCAGTCGAGTGTAAGGGTTGGTTTTGTTAGCGTAGTAACTGTATACTTTGGTTATGAACATTTGTTGCATATATGCATAATGAACAATCTGATTTTTTCAAAGATCTTTTCCGGATTATTCCCTATCTACTCATTTAGTGGTTCTAAATCTTGCATCAATCACACTTCAACTTTATTCCGGTTAACCACATTCATTCAATACTATAAAATTCCCACACAATAATCTATAATGGGTATCTTGTATGAAACTGAAGATCCTTTGTCTACTTCCCACCTCTGATTACCCTGCATGGGCTCACGAGCAGTGTTACCTCTAAGGTGTGCGCGTGCACACAGCTTTCAGAGGCTGCGCACACGCATAGATTTACTGCGCACAGACGTATTTCGATGTAATGTAACAATGTTCTTTTGTTCTTTTTTCACCCTTTATTTGAATTCAAATAAAACCATCTGTTACAATCAATTCCATTTATTATTTTCCATGTTTGTTCATTGTTATCTACTGATAACATATAGCCTTCACTAAAGCATTTACAAACTTATTGAATAACCAAAATTTTCTTAATAAGCCCACTTATTACCCGGTTAGAACGCCAAAATTTCTTCATTGGTTTTTGCACAAATATTAGTCATTTCCAAAAAAGTGCACACACACCAAAATTTCTGCGCACACATACTGCAAAAATTAGAGGGAACATTGCTCACGAGTATAGTTATGTGCGAGGAAATTGCTTGCCTCCATAGGATGGTTCACGTAAACGCTGGTCGAGTCCATTCATCTAAAAACCAATACTTGGCTAACTAACCCCATACCGACAGGGACAGGTAACCGGTCATGGGGCCGTGGTTCGCTATATGATTAATTAAGCTGTCTTATCGTCTCTTCTCTCTTCTGGGATAAATATGTAAATCCTATCCACTACACTAATATACTTGCTATTTCGTGGAAAGAGATCATGCCATCCTTATATACTTTACTTACCGTTTGGCTAAGCAGCAAAATTGTATTATTTCTTGAAACATCTTTTCGTTTATAAGCTTGACAAGCACCAGAATCCCCGCACTCTGTACTCCATGATACACAAGCAAGATCAAGTACTGCACCGACGAGAATTCGACCTGGTATTACACCAAATAATCTGCTGATTGCTGCCTGAAAAAAATTTGAAACAAGAAAGAAATGTAATCTAGACCCAAAGAAACCAAAGCAAGAGTTGTAGATGATAGAAACCAAAGCAAGAGTTGTAGATGCCAAAGCTTGATACCAAACTTGCGACCATACTTGAAACAAAAAAAATTCAACATATCAACATGCTGAATATAATGGTTGAAACTTCAAGCAAGTAGTACATGTGAACTAATTGAATGGGTTGTTTTTGATAGAGTACATTTTACCACTAAAATATTGCCTGAACTGCATGGACAAAACTGAGGGAAACTTGTTGCGTGTGAGTGCGATAAAAAAGCAAATTTGTTTTCAACATTCTTAATCCAATCGATACAATCAAATGATCAATTACTGGTTATGAACTGAAATATTCAATCTGTTATAGGAGCACATGAAGGCACTCCTCAGGATACAATAGAAACTCTAGCTACAAAATTAATTTGTTCCAGTAGCCCCTTCGTAAGTAGAAAATTCCGTAAGTAGGGACGCATTTTATCTTTCAAGCTGCCTGCCCACGTTTTTCATATCTAAACCCTTTTGTAGGCAGAGTTTCTACTGTATAATGAAACATTTAAATAGGTATCCCAGACTTGATGTTTCTGTATAGAATGTACCATTTTAGCAACGCCAATAAAACTCTCACCTGCATAGAAATTGCAAGAACTCTGTTATGAAATGGCACGCATCTGATAGTGACTTGAAGAGTAGGTGACAACGTTAAAACAGAAGTAAAAAAACAAAAGAAAACAATAAAAGCAAAAGGAATGATCATGGAACATGGATTTCGATCACAATTTTCTGTTGAGAGAATCGTTCCGCTCGTTGATGTATAGTTATAGTTGGCAACACATGTGCAGTCTGTGAAGGTCTGGAAAAAGAATAAAACAAAATAATTTGAAACACTTAAAATGAAGTTGCGATCTGCGATTTTTATTTGTATAGCGTGCCAAGGTTTCTCGTCCAGTTATCAGTCCTTGTCAAGTATGAGAATAGTTAGCCCGTTATTATATATTTCAGATGCATGGGCTTTATGGTGGAGAAAGCCGTAACCGACCAGCGAAATTGCACAAAATAATCAGAGTGGCACGCACTGAGAGAGAGGCTGAGTTTTCAGATACAGGGGCCATAGTCTGAAGATAACTTAATTATCTAAAGCAAGTGAAGTTAGATAGAAATTTTCCCAGCATGCCTGTCCCAATCTTACAATTCACCAATTTCCTTCTTCATGGTAGATAGGTGATTAGCATTCAGGCCCATTTCATGAAATTTTGCACATAATAATTTTTTTGCCCACTCATAAATGTATGATATATAATCAAATTAATCAGATAATCCGCACTTACAGTATCATTGATTTGAGTTTGGCATCCGGCAAAACAAGGTGAAAAATAAGCAATTCCTTCCCCGCATACTGGTTGATAACGATCAGTTGAACAACCGCAATCTTCATTACATGATGAGTAGGGTGAAAGTTCAAAGGTCGAGTTAGGATATGGAACTGTTCCTCCAGCAAAATCTGAAAACAAATGAGGATCTTTTGAACTTTTCTTGGATGTAAAGTGCAACATAGTTAGGTGTAGGAATGAATGTATTGGGAGGGCATATTGGGCTATATGATTGAATTTACGGCGGGAAAATGATTAAAAAAAATTCCACAAAAAACACACAAGTAGCATAACATGAAGATTTACCCTAGCAAATTAAAATCAGACGAAATACCGTAGCAAGATAGTAGCTTGAAAATTGGAGTTCCAGAACTATGTGCACCAGGATGGCGCACATCCTGAACACAGCATGTCCATACTTCTGGAGCGCCTGAAAATTGACCCTAAACTGGCTGCTGAATAAATCCTTTGATCATTAAATCCAAATAATATCTTATTTCACTATAAATTAAAAAACAAAATCCCTAATAGAAAAGAAACAACGTAAAATTTTTGTCTTTCATGATATCTACTTTTGTTTATCACCATTCCATACATGATCTTAATGGTAAAACCATATATCTAAAAGCGGTTAAATCTTTAATGAGGAAAAATTACAGCAAAATTGCCCGGAGGTAAAATATCATATTTCAAGAGATAATACAGATATACCTTGTGTGTTTTGGAACTTTTAATAAGGCTATTTCATTAAATTAAATTGTAATATCCAAATTGTAATATCAACAGAAGTAGATCATTGTATTTCACTGTTTACAAATATTGTTAATGAAGCTGACAAAAGACTTCCCAACTTGTGGATAGGTATTTTATAAAGTACTTAATCATGATGGCCTCACATTATAATCTTATGTCCAAATCCCACACCCACCACGTAATCCAGAGTGTAATAAAGTGGGCAGGCGATGCCGAACCCATTTGAGTTTGTTTTCTACCAAGTGGAGGAGCGTGTATTCATGTACATTTTGAAGCCTATTTAGGCTATGCTCGGTACTCCCGTAGTGTGTATACCAGGTTAGGGTTGGGCTATAATTTTATTTTAATTTTCCTTATTTTATTCTAATATGAGTTCGGGAACTAGCCAAGTGAATATACCCTCTTGCCCATAGGTTTCAGTCTCTTTACACAACTTGATGTAAAGTAGGCGAATAAAATTAGTTACCACCATATTGGAACACATACTTCTGGAATACCCTATGCTCACCCTTGTTTTCACTACACCTTGTTATCTAGTTTGAATTTTTTTTTTGTGTTAAGTGTCGTCACGGGAAATATTTCTGTATCTTTCAAACTAAAGTAGTTCATTACCTAGCAGTGGAAATTTGTGCTGAGCCTTGTTCAGAGCAAAATAATATTAAAAATGGCACCCCAGAAATGTGTGTACCAATATGGAGGTAACTAATTTTGTTCGCCTACTTGACATCAAGTTGCGTAGAAGGACTGAAGCCTATGGGCAGGGGGCATATTAACTTGGCTAACACAGACAGTTCATTAACTCGTAATAGAACTGAAATAAGGAAATTTTGTTTTGATCATCCCTGTCCAGATACATACCTATATCTCCACAATGCACAACGAATCCGATGCTACAAAGAGCTGACAATATTCCAGTCACAATGATGAACTTCAATATTTGTGGAACTGTCAATTCATATTTCTTGATTATAAAACCACTGGTAACTTGAGCACCAAAGCTTGCAAAGATGGCAGCAACACCTGCAATGGAATAAAGTTTGATCAACTCCTAACAATTACAAAAAGCACTCCGTTTATTTGATTAAAAATTGTGTTTTTCTAGTTCTGGTGCACAGCTGCATGTACTTTTCATGCTTCAAATTTGAGTGTGGATTTCACACAAAGCTCCATTGTTGGTGTTATTACTTATCGATCTTCAGATCGGTAAGTATATTGATAGGTATTTGTCTGTATGTATGTATGTCTGTGTGTGTGTCTGTTAGATGAACGCGATATCTCACGAACGCGTGGTTGAATCTGCTCCAAATTTCGCATGTACATGCATCTTACCTCGGACCAGAAGCCTATAGATTTTGGGTTAATTATGTCGTATAATTAGCGAGTTATTAACTAATTACCGATCTAAGATCGATAAGTCTTCGGTCTCAGACCGATATTCTCGTTGTGTGATTGCCAGAAGCGCCCTTTTCAAATGTAAAGGAAAGCAATTTTCTGTAGCTTGAAACACTTATTAAACTCTTAATTGCCAGCCCCAATTGCTTATACGATTTAACTTGATAATTAGAAATTTCAGAAAATCCCACTTGAAATTTTTGGATATGCCCTTGTAGCAAACTGAGATAGTATAGGGTTTGCATATTTATCATGGAGAGAGGAAAGTCGATAAGATGGCTTAATCATATGGCGAACCACAGCCTCTCGTCCGGTTACCAGTTCATGTTGGGTATGGGATAAATTAGCCAGTATTCGGTAGCATGGACTTAATGGAGGAGGAAGTCGTAACCCACCAGCGGGTTACGTGAACCACCCTTCGGCGGCGAGGTGTTCAGCAGTCCTATCGTATATACCCTACGACCCCACGCAGGGTAATCAGAGGTGTGGTGGCGATATATTTCTAATGCTTAGCATGATGCGGCACACTGATGAGAAGCATTTGGTCCTAAGTATAATAGTTTCTTACACAACAGGCTGCTTATACAAAGTCTTGTTCAGAATAAAAAAATATGTCACAAAAGTTGGCACTCCAGGAGTGTGTTTACCAATATGGAGGTGACTAATTTTGTTCGCCTACTTTACATCAAGTTGTGTAAAGAGACTGAAACCTATGGGCAGGGGGTATATTCACTTGGCTAACACAGACAGTCCCCGAACTCCCTAAAAGAACTAAAATATGAAAAATCGGAATAAAATTTTGGTCTAACCCTAACCTGGTACATAATATTCTACGAGAGAACCCAAAAGTCGACTTACCATATAATAATGAAGAATGAAAAGGAGTTAATCCAAACACAGATTCTAAATATTTTGCCCCAAAAGTATTGAAGCCGTAAATCAGAGCAACATTCATTGTTAATCCACATGTCATGAACATGTACGGTTTGTTTCGCAGTAATAGGATGATTTCATTGATACCTCTCACTGTTCCTCTGTGAAATAAGAATGGAAGTTCTAAAGCAGTGGTTCTCAAACGCTGAGGCGGGGACAATTTTTTGAGGGGACGTGGAGCTAATTAAAAATGAAAATATTTGTTAGATTCGATCATGCCCGTCTTATTCTGGATATTTACATATCTTTATTGTTCACTTTCTTTTGTGTACAATGTGTTTGTTGAATGAAAAATACTTCCGCCTTACTACCGGTATCTTTTATTGCTTATTGTTAGCTAGTCATTTTTAATAAGGTGGAGGCAAGACTCGACAAAGTTCTGAAGACATTAAAAACTATAAAGTAATATTAGAGCTAAATTTCACAAAATGGGCTGAAGTTTGAAATTTTAAACGATAAGAAAGTTTTTAAAAATGATATTAACATTATATCACATTGACTCACGTCAGTCAGGAATATATAAATCTGAATTATATTGATTTTTCTGAATATACCGTATTTTCTCGACTATACGCCCATCACGCGGATAAGCCGACTCCCTAATAACAGCTTCGAAATAGTGAATTTATAAAAATTCGCATATACGCCGTTTCCACAAATCGTAACACGGCGCACGCATCTATTACAGTCAATGATGTTGAATTCAAATATCGCGATTCGCTACCTTCTTGTATATGGCACACACATTCTAGCGCCGCTGTCCACATTTTGATTAAAACAATTTTCGATTATTATATTTTCTGTTTTATCGTAATAGAAGACAGCACTTTGCGGCACAACTAAATTACTGCCAACATGAAAGGAATTAAATCAGCGCCGACTTGAAGTACCAAACGTATAAGATGAGGACATTTTTGATTGAAAATATTTTACAATCATTATTTTATATTAAGGTAGTCGAGATATCCTGAGCGGTCACGGCAATAAATTTGGTTATTTTTCGCAAGTCTTCTCAACCATGATTTGTGTGAGCTTCATATATGGGCTGATATATTTTATAATGTATGCCAAAGTGTCTGCCGATTATTTAATTGACTTTGTATACCAGCTGTTATTTGTCTTAATCCTAAAAACAAAAACTTGGCCGGTGCGATGAAGCACTCCCTGTCCGATAACGGCACTTCAGAAAGAAAACGGCTACCACGAAATAAAGTGATTGATTTATGACCCTTCCGTTTTGCTGATTCAGGAAAAAACGGAAAACACAGCTGTTGCCTAACCCATGGACGTACAGCACAGTATTTATCACATCATATTCATATGTTATTTCAACCTTTCAGTTACCGTAAATGGTTGAAATTACAGTTTTATTGTTAAGAATTAATGCTGAGTATTATTCTACCTGAAACTTCTATCTGATTCTTTCTTATGCACAAATGATAACGTTTTGACCACGAGACGGCTGGTAGATCAATGCTGTTGCTCTTATGCAAAAGATACAATTAAATTTAATCAAATACAAGCGGTAACGTTTATGATCAGACAATCACGCCTAGACAAGCGACCGCGCGTGTGTGGTGTGTGCGTGCACGCTCTTTATCGTGAGAATTAAGCATGGTCTGTAGCTGTTGCAATTACCGGCAAGTCAGCATTATATCATTTCGTTGCGTGATCAAAGTCTCGATGCGCGAAGAAGCCGATTTTTTGGAGCTATCTGAGTTATGCGCGCACAAGACGGTCCCTTAGTTGGGCAACTTTTTTTTTCAGTTTTAAACTCGGCGTATTTGCGAATAAATACGGTATTTAGAAATAATACAGGGTGTCCATAAAGTCGGTTTACAATTTCAATTTTGTTATGAAGTCAGTTCTCAATATATCGTAACCAGGTTTGTTGTTTTTTGAAATTGTTCAGATATTTTCACTTTATTTAATACATCTGTGAGGGCCAAAACAATATATGCTATCGATAAATTCCCTTTGCAATTTTAAAAAATTTTAAGACTTCGAGAATACCCTATATTTCTAAACTTGGAATATTGAATATAATGAATTGTCAATCATGACAAAGAAATTAATTTAACAAAGAAATTGGTACAAATCATTGTCAATTCAAAGGAAATTTGGTAATAAAGCAGAATAATTGAGATAAATGTTATTTTGATTGTCTTCCAAGTTTCAATGTCATGGTGTCAGAGGTTAAATGAAGTTTATTTATCTAGCTGTCAGATGTCAAATTCCCAAATGATAAATTTTCAAATTAAACTATTCTTAATCTGTCTGAAACGAAGGATTCACTATTTGCCCAATTTCAAATGTATCTGTATAAGTTCAGAGAAGAGATGCAAAAATGAAATAAGTGATGCAATCTTGATATCTATTGCGTCGATGGTGAGACATGCATGGTTTCCCTCCCAGACATTTCAAAATAGTTACGTTATGTGAATGTTGACATAGTGGAGCAGAGCTGCACTCATTCAAACCAGTTTGTGGTCATTTATAAGCTGATGGGATGATAATTACAGTAGGGCAAATACCATAAACAACACAATGGCAATTTCAAAAGAATCAAATCTTCAAATATTGATCCTGTGGTCAGTAATTCCAAATTCTGTTTGTCGACAATGAAACCTATGATCAAGTTAACAAAATATCACATTTGTCATAGCAAACAAATTAATCGTTTTCATAATCTTGAAAAAACTGTATGAACTGGACCAGCATTTCTCCAACTATGTTCCATGGGACACTGTTGTTCTGCAAGCGTCTCCGGAGTGTTCCGCAGGAATGAAATCTAAATTGGTCGCCATGACATTTTCGTTGATTTATTATCAATTTTACCTTCTAATTTCTTGGTGTTCCGCTAGGCGGGTGTAGGTGTTCCGGGACAAAAAAGTTTGAGAAATGCTGAACTAGATGCATTATCAATTGATATAACTGTGCCGTACAGCACAAAGTCAAAAACAAAAAATATTTAAATAATAACCTTGTTCCTTCCCCAGTCTGCTCAAGATGACTTTTCTGCGTTTCCAAATTTCTATTCTCTCTGAATTTTTCTGTTCCGGGCAAATGTTTTGGAAGCATAAGCAGAGGCACAGAGTTCAGTACAAGGAAGATCCCACATATCAAAAAACCAATCCACCAAGCCCCCACCCAAAGATAGCTGCTACTATCGATCGGTATTTCATCAGAACTGTGAAAAGAAAATTAAAATTGGTATCAAAAGAGAGACTGTAATATCTTAATTGTTATTGAGTTTATTATTTGATGCTCATCAGTGCCTTTCGCTCCAAACAAGGCCATGTATCTGCTGACATTTAACAATATGTAAGAAGCTATTATTTATGGAAAATCAGAGTCTTTATTGTTTGAAATTGTCCAATTTATTACACCTTGAGTGAGGCTGCTGCCATGGATCATGCAAAAGTAGCGAGAGTTGTACTTTGCAAAAAAAGATGGTAAACCTAATTGGCTCTTATGAACAATGATGGAAAATTAACTTGATGATTTAAAAATTTTATTACATATCTTATAATATAAATTTAACCGAAAGTTTGTGCAAGTCGTTATTTACATTCTAGCAATCCCTGACATAAATTAAAGTAGCCATTGACAAAAGACCGATAAAATAGTCATATTGAAGCAACTTAAGTGCAGGCCAATAAATTAACTGTTAAAGAAGGTTGAAGGCAGACAAATATTTGCATTTCTGTTCAACTGGTCAGATACTGATTAATAGAAAATGCTGAGTTGTTTGTGTCAATAAATTTTATCTGTAGGAAGTTGTAGGAACATGTTTAGTGTCGTTTACATGACATAGTTATGTAGTAACGGAAATAACATCAACAATCTTGTTTATTCATTTAGTTTCTATGCGACTAACTACTTATCCTTTTTCTATGCTTTCTGCCAGTGGATCCGTATGCTTATATTGCAAGGATGCTGTAGCAAGATTAAAGACTAGATAACGGTCGGAAACCGCCGACTTATCGATCTTGCGGTTTCGATTCCTTCGCTCTGACTCAATAGCGACACCACGAGTCCTATCACTAATTAATCAATAACTCGATAACTATATACGACATAATTCATCCAAAATCAATAGGTTTTTGCTTCGAGATATGATGGATGCACATGCAATCTCGCTTTCGTGAGACATCGCATAACATACAAAAGTGAAACAAACAAACAAATACCTATCAACAGACTTACGATTGAGATCGATAAGTAATAACTATCATAGAATAGTAGTTTAGGAATCGTTATCTTGTTCATAGCTGCAAATCATAGATGGCATAACAAAATAATTATAGTTCTGTATTAAGGGCATCTCAGGCTCTTTCTGATTTGCCTGTGCTTTCCAAATTAATTGCACAATAACTATGTTAGGGGTCAAAGGTCAAGGGATGGCAGTAATAACCCTGGGTGTAATAGAATTAGGTGAGCAATACAAAAAAAAAGAATTCACTTCTTCCATAAATAGTAACTTTAATTAATACACATATCAGTGACTGCTCCTATAGAACCTTGGTTAAGGAGAAAGCGTGGGTACTTAATTCAACTAAAATCATTCTGACCACCATGCCCTGGGTGTAATTAAATTGGGTGAGCAATACCAAAACTTAATCGATTTTAATACTTTCAAAAATAGTAGCATCAGTACAATGCATCAGTGCTTCTACGGAGCAGCCTTGTTTAAAGTAAAGTGTGTAAAGCCTAATTCAACTAAGAGGAAGTTTTAATATCAGTTAATTAATGATGAACTACTGACAATGATGAACTATAGCTTCCTGTTAATACTTCTTGATATATCCGGTCGTTTTAAATCACTTTATTATTCACAGTATAAATTGTCATTTAAGAACCTAATCTACAGGTTGTTTGATTTAAGGAAAGTACCGAGAAAGAATAATAACTGCTTAGTTTGTCATTCAGAATGGTTCGTTATCAAAATTCCGACAACTGAAAGTAGCGTCCGCAAAAACTTATGAAAATTACTATTCCAGATGTTTTCATTCAACCTATATTGATTTGTATCAGTTGCAAGAGGAAACAATAAAATATTAAATTTTTCTGACATTCTAATCTACAATTGAGTTCATCCTGTTATTACAGATATTCTATGATATTCAAATGATTTTAAAACTGTGTTAAAGGTCATATACTACCGTCTACTAAAAATCTTTTGTATGTCTCACTTTGATACATCCAAGAGCAATTGTTGAGATAACAGTAGTATAGTTACACATCTCACCTTTTTCCAATATCTGTGTATAGCTCCATAGCTGCTCCTCCAACAAGAAATCCTAGGGCTGGTCCTAAACCACCAATCGCAAAATAAATGGCTGAAAAAAAAATTTGAATATTCATCAAATGTTAAAAAACTCACATTGGATTTCTATAAATGCTTGTTTGAGACTTCACTTCAAAGCCAATTAGTATAAATGCTTTACCAATTTTCAAGTTATTGAGAAAGACTGCAAAGTTTAACAATCGTGAGTTAACAAAAGAAAATCATCATCATATCTCTGATTACCCAATGCCCTGGATGCTGGGATTCTGGACTTCTCATTGGCAGGTTTCTCAAGAATCATTGGACAGTACTAACTTCCTAAATCAACTATGCAGAACAAACTGCCGATTGATTTGAAAGTTGCAGTTTGCCATATATATAATTTTTCAATCTCCTTTCGTTGCTACTAGCAATAACATGTAATTTTGCTTTATGGTAGGATAGGATGGGATTTAGATATTAACGATAATAAGACCGCTCTAGAACCTCTTAACTCTACACCGCTCAAAATTATTGCGAACCACAGCCTCTCATCCGGTTGCCTGTCCAAGATGGGTAAAGGGTTAGATAGCCAATTTACTTGTTTGGGATGCATGGACTTGATATACAGTGAATATTTAAACACGACCTCCTATATTCTATAGAATATAAGTAATGCACACAATAGAACAACTATAAACATATTGTCAACTTACAACTGAATAAAGCAGAATTTTTCTTTTCCACATTTTCATCCAGATATGCAATACCATGAGTGTACAAAGGACATATTCCTATTCCAATTAATGCAATAGATGTCATAAAAAAGAACCTGCAAAGTAAAAACAAAATATATAAAACAGCACAATAACCTATGTTGACTCTTCTGCTAGAACAAGATTTGAAGAAAGGTTCTAACGCAGGGGTGAGCAAGATTTTTAAACCAGGGGCCAAAAAGTTACATTTTATGAACAATATTTACAGTGTTACAAAGCAAAGGTGGAAAACAATATGCCTCATGCCAAAACTAAAATTAACCGCAAACTCAACAAATTCTGTGAGCTATTTTAGCTAAAACATCTAAACTTGATTTCGGTTTGGTTGTGGCAGCATCAGGCGGGCCAGATTGAATTACCCAAAGGGCCGGATTTGGCCCACGGGCCGTAGTTTGCCCATGAAATTTAAATTTATTTGTACATTTAGCAGTGACTAACATATTGCTTAGAAGAGACTAAGACTAAAAAAAAATGTAAAACAAATTTCTATTACCTGTAGTTTCTAAGGATGGATTCGCTACAATCTGGTTCTGTTACATTATTACAATAGTTGAAAACTTCTGTATTAACGAGAGAATACTCAGGTGCAATGAAATGTGGCAACGCAAACATTATTCCACCGATACCAGCAATGAATTGACCCCAACCAATGTACCGTGGTTTGTTAACATTCTCGTTAAATAATGATATAACAATTGAAGTCAGAACTTGAGCTGCATCGTTCACACTTCCTATCATCCCACTTTCTGTACTTCGAAGTTCGAACCTATAGAGAAATAAAATGTGATAGGATTTTAATTCTTGTATAACTTGAATTTAAAAACTAGGAACAGCATTAGAGGTTTCAGGTTCTGGAGTTAAATATGACATTTTTCAAAAGTAATCGAGATTTGTCAATACTGTGAACTTTCTGAACATCAGAACCCATTCAATAATGATCAATTTTCACTGAATATCACAAATAATTCCATGTGTTATGAATATCAGTGAGGTAAACCTGTCAAAATAGCAACAATAGCACAAAACGAATACCGGACACCTACGGTGACCGTACATTTGAACCCATGTGCATATCCGCGAGTTCAATCTATATATGCGGGTGCTAAAACCCATGGATTAGGGTTAGTATGCGTTCAAAAATCCGCAAAACAAAAAAAATTTCCATAGGTACAGTAGTATGCAAGTGCAATTGTTGTGGGTTCAAATGTACGTGGGTTCAAATTTATGGGAACGGACAACTACAGACTCCAGACTTGCAACTGCAGGTGGAAAAAATTTTGATAACAAAAACTTGGTCATATCATAATCAAATTATGCTCTCTAAAACAGCACGATTCCACTATGCATTCTCCAACGATTCAAGGCATACTAAAATAGATGATCTTAGGCTCTCTCACCTTTTTTCCAGTGTGCTGATACTGACGCCATAAAGTCCATTCGTGATAGTTTGTTGAAACATGTTTGCAATACAAATAAAAAATAAAGCCCATTTTGCTTTTGCAAATGGCTGAAAAGACCGACAATTTATTCTTGAATTATTTTTGCAGCAAATGATGTCACATCCACAAAGCTCATCTTTATTTGAGATTTGTTTTTCCGGTTCGGTTTCATTCTGTTGTATGATTGTTTCAGTTTGTTTTTCTGGTTGAACAAGTTTTGATGATGCTGTGTCACCTTCCGAGTTAGACATTTTATGATTGGACCCTTTGATTTTTTTCCTAAAATTAGTAGTTCATAGATTCTGGAAAAATGAAAAAAAATATATTTCTGATACTGCTGTACTGTGATTCCATAAAAGTCGATTTTTGTGTCAATTCAGTACCGTATTTGTCATTGAATATAGAACTAGGATTAATTACAGGCAAAAAATATAAAACATATAAAGCATGGTACGGTATATTAGAGGTTACAGTGTATATTTGTGTATTCAGTTGACAAATGAGCATACCTTCGTACCTGCATACAGGAATGCAAAAAAATTATTATAGTTCTGTAATTAGAAAACATACAGTACCGGTAGTCTACAGAAAAAAATCTAGAGCAGTCATAGTCTACATACCACTGTACTGACAGGTACGTTTAAAAAATACGTCTTTGTTCCAAAATAAAAGTGTACGGTACCGTACCTGCAAAATCTCGCATTATCTACACCTGGAACAAATACAGAAATAACCAGCTGACTAATCTAATCCCACACCCGACATGGACTGGTAACCATACGAAAGGCCGTAGTTCGCCATAGGATTACGGGAGGTACCGTACTGACCTGCAGTTGCAGACCTGCGGTCAAAGTCCACGCTAGCCGGTTGTGGACAAAACTCAAAATTTACTTTTGTATTTTTCACCTAAATGGCCAATGTTACGCCTGAATGACTGGGGTCGGCAACCTTTTGTCGCTCGCGGCCAAAATTAAGATTTGAAAGTCTTGGCGGATTTTTAAAAAGTTAAAAACCGAACATATGGCCGATGAATCACATTTTTTCACACAGATCAGAAGTTGAAATTAAGAACACTGCGCCACTCAACTTAGTCGTCTTACTAAGAGAAAAAAAATACAATTGACATTTAAATGCGACATTTTTTGATGCATAGGATAGGATTTACATATTTATCCGGGGGAGAGGAAAACCGTAAGGACGGTTTAATCATATGGCGAACCACGGCCTCATGTCCGGTTACCAGTCCAGGTCAGATATGGGACTAGTTAGCCGGTTATGTGTTTTCGGTAGCATGAACTTGAACGCATCACGCATAATAGCTTTTTGACATCAGGCGACATGCTTGTTGAAGCCCAGATCAAAACCTTTTCTAAATTGGCATCACTAGTCTGATCATACCGCCGTTGGGTGCGGACGTGAAATATCGACGGTGGAATACTGGAGTAAGAAATATTTGGACGAAAACGTGGAAAACCGGACGAATATAAACCTTACTGAGAAGATGCATACAAACTTAAATCAAAACGATGCTGTTGGATACAGTACCGATACGGTAAAAATCAGTTCACATCAGATCATGCTGGCCTGCGTGGAGTTTATCGTGGGCACTGATCGAAGCTGGGGATAACATGAACAGTCAAGCGTCAAATGGATCGGATATTTGATGATGGATTTCATAAAAAAGACTACTTACACTTACACAAAGCACATGAATTTGGATTAAAACTGATGTTGGAACGCCTGCGCGTGGAACGCTCTTGTCATATTTCACTTCGTTCGTTGTTGTTCTCTTCTATGCTGCTTTTATTATTATTGTTTATCGTCCTGTAGTAGACTATTAGTTGAGTGCGTTTGTAATCAAATTAATTTTATCACATATTGCGCAACGCTTGTTTGTTTGTTGTATTCTACAATTCTCATTATTTCCTTGTACAGATATAGTAGAAATTACACTCCATGTTAAACTCCATATCCAAGAATTTACGCCCAAATTATTTTTCGTGTCTCTTTTTTTTTTTTAAATTTACTGCAATGTGTTGTTTGCTGTTTGGGGTATGTGGGCACGTGCACCAGCACGTCTTAAATCTTTTTTTAGATTTTGCCCACTTTCCTGATTTTCCGTACATTTGTTTGTTTTGCCATGTATTGTTTGGAAAATTGAAATAAACACTTACTTACTTGCTTCTTACACTTATAATATAATTTAGTCTACACGAGTCTCAGAATAAAACCTGTACAATCGTGAAAACAGCCGTTTTGTCGATATAATCCAATAAAGCGTCGCGGGCCGGATTATTATACTCCCGAGGGCCGTAGGTTGCCGACCCCTGGACTAGTCCATGCCCCAACCTATGTTGGCCTACTGTATCTTTAAAAGGGGCAAAGTGTGTCGCAAACGTTTTGTGCGCATAATACAAATAAAACTTTTATTGTAGCTTATTTCCCATTTAAATTATATTATTTAGTAGTCACGCCCTTCCAGGCTTACAACGTAACACATTCAAGATCGCAACAAGCCTAAAACAGGGTAAGAGGGCATATTAATTTTTGTATATTGAGGCAATATGACGCTTACTCGTGTCTTCTGCTCAGAACATGGCTAGATGGAGAATTTTTTTACTTACTGGTATTTTTTAGAAATAACCGAAGATGAAGTAAAAGATAATTTATTTTATGACAAAATTAATGCGTGGCTTTGAATCCAGCATCTGATTATGCCTTTTTGTTCACTTATTCAAGAATGAGTCAAAAACTGTATATACATCTTCATATCAGCAAGATATTCTGTTATTCAAAGCTATTTTTAACAAACTTAAAATCGATAACCTATTGGTTTGCGAGTAATTATGATAAAAAATTGCCCCAAATTGCCGAAATTGAACTTTGATAATCGGGCTTTTGCCTTCAGGTATTTTTATATAATATGATTTGAGGAAAACTTTTTGTATGAACTCGTCCCCAAAATCGGTTTGTCCCCGAATGGAGGCCTGGGTTCGAATCCCACTTCTAACAACATCTTTTTATCTCCACCCTAAAAACTTAACAAACTCATATTCGTCTCAAGGTCACCAAGTAGCATACTATTGATGAGTGACTTTGAATCGAGTATCTGCCTTTCTCCCATTTTGTTCACTCCACGTGAATGTGTCAAAACCTAGATTTCAGTTTTAAGAGAAATAGATGTCATTCTTGAATAAGTATAATCATAGTTTGTAGTACGCCGATTTTATGCTGAGCAGCACGATTGCTCGCAATCTTGTCTGTGAAACCGCCAATTAGGCCTGGGCCTACTCACTTACACAATTTAAAGATTTCGTGTATGTCGGACGCGGAAAAGCTGTAATCTAAAAATTGAATTCTGAAAAAACGAGAAGATTTGAAACAAATTAAGGCACCACTGGGATTCGAACCCAGGATCTCCTGTTTACTAGACAGGCGCTTTACCAAATAAGCCATGGCGCCAATCGGCTGCAATCGGAAGTATATGAATCCACTTGTACGACTCTCTCTCTCTCTGTCTATCTATTTCTAACTCTATCCACCTCTCTAATCAATTGAGATATTCTGTTCGTTGAGTATGTGGTTAATGAAATTATAATTGGTTTCCCATTTGTTTGCTATTAATTTTGATCAAGAAGAGTTAATTGATTTAATTTGATTACGTATATATTAGTAATTATCTCAAGCACCGTTCCTCGTCGGCCCCATGGTGTAATGGTTAGCACTCTGGACTCTGAATCCAGCGATCCGAGTTCAAATCTCGGTGGGACCTGTGTGGCGTTAGTCTCGCATATTTTTGCATGATTTGATGAAAACTTTTTGTATAAACCAACAGTCACACATTCCTGATTCTGTCACACAGTAATAACGCGAACAGTTGTTAGAATTAAAAGCCCAAAGTCATATGCTTTTTTAAACAAATAATATTTTGCGTAAGCCTAAAAATATGATTTAATAGAGAACCAGTAACTTCCTCCCAGGGATGGCCAATACTGGCCTGTTTACTAGATAGGCGCTTTAACCAACTAAGCCATGGCGCCGAACGGCACTAAACTAAGCACATCTCTCACTCCATCATTTTCTTTATCTATCTCAGTCTAACTCATCGAAATATTCTGATGTCTGAATCTATGATTAAGAAATTTAAAATTGATTACCCCATGAGATCCGATTAATTTTGATCAAAACGAGTTAATTGATTTAATTTGATTACGTAAAATTTACTAATTATCACAAGCGCTATTATAGCAGCTAACCCCCAAATGTACCGCATTTCATGTTGAAATCATCCAAACAAAGTTAATTTTCCCCAAAATTCGAACAAAGACTTTCGTAGGAATCAAATTACACCAGTTTAAGGAACATAACATCTTCCACCCAGTCATTATCAAATTAAAATTTATATTCTCAAGACCTTTGGAACTGATTGAAATAATTATATCTAAGTTCCCATCCGTACGATGTACATAATTACCCTTATTGAGATAATAGGAATTTCTGTTTATAACGTGGACCACGAGCTCACGTTTACAGTATTTAATTAGATATATGATCGACGTATAAATACGACTCCGATATCTTTCGATATTGACGATGTAAACCATTCTAAGCTAGTTTGGATAAATGTTTTAAGATTTGTATTCTGTGTGTTGTGGAAATTTACGAATAAAAACATATAGAGATTTTTAACGTATCTTCATTCACGTGGGCGTTGAAGCTGAAGGGTGAACGGGTGACTTGCAAGTCAGAGACAATCTACAAATTAGCAAATTAGCATGCTGCTTTTATTATTATTGTTTATCGTCCTGTAGTAGACTATTAGTTGAGTGCGTTTGTAATCAAATTAATTTTATCACATATTGCGCAACGCTTGTTTGTTTGTTGTATTCTACAATTCTCATTATTTCCTTGTACAGATGTAGTAGAAATTACACTCCATGTTAAACTCCATATCCAAGAATTTACGCCCAAATTATTTTTCGTGTCTCTTTTTTTTTTTAAATTTACTGCAATGTGTTGTTTGCTGTTTGGGGTATGTGGGCACGTGCACCAGCACGTCTTAAATCTTTTTTTAGATTTTGCCCACTTTCCTGATTTTCCGTACATTTGTTTGTTTTGCCATGTATTGTTTGGAAAATTGAAATAAACACTTACTTACTTGCTTACTTACACTTATAATATAATTTAGTCTACACGAGTCTCAGAATAAAACCTGTACAATCGTGAAAACAGCCGTTTTGTAGATATAATCCAATAAAGCGTCGCGGGCCGG